CGAAGGACAAGAGACAGAACAAGGGGGCAAGGGCGGTGGGGGAGGAGGACGAAGGGGGGGGGGGGAGGCGGGGGGGGTAGGTAAATAGTGGCAGTAGTGCCTAATTGGGATGAATATCATACAATGCACAGCGCTAGTCGCTGACCTGCACGCATATTCTTGCATGCATTTGACAAAAAGTAGTCTGGGAGGAGTACAAAGAGTGTATGTAATTGGGATACAATCCCATAAATAGCATTAAACTTCAATCACAAATTTTTGAGGGCCTATACATGAGACATATCCAAAACGCCCGGAAAAGCACTATCTAACATGCAAGCTTTAGTTCTTAGCAGCCTTCTCGCCCTTCTCGCCCTTCTCCAGCTTACGGCGCTTAGACCGCAGCTTAGCAGACTCATCGGCAGTCTTCTTGTTGGAGTACATCATCTTCTCAAGCAGCTTGCGCTTCTTCCGGCTCATCATCATCTTCTGTCTGTCGAGCTCTTCTTCCTCGGCCTTCTTCTTGAGAGCAATCTTCTTGTTCTTGGCGGCCTTCTTCTTGGATGCCTCGTCAGTGGCACCAGCAGTGAAAGGCAGACCGGCGGCTTCGGCCTCAAGCTCCTTCTGGTGCTGGGTACGAGCGGCCTCGTCATCGTCTTCGGACTCGGAGGCGGCTTCTTCGTCGAAACCACCAAAGTCCTCGACTTCTTCTTCCTCGGACTCGGACTCGTCGTCGTCAGTGCCGGCAACGTCCATGCCTCCGTCGACAGACTCAGCATCGGACTCGGCCTCGGCCTTCTCCTCAACGGCAGCCTCGTCTTCCATCTCCTCATCGCTGTCGGATGCATCGGCCGCGTTCTCGGCCTCATCCTCCTCCTCCTGCTCGGCGAGGGTGGCGCGAGGATCGTAAGCGCCGCGAGAAGCCTTAACCCACGGACTCAGGTGGGGAGGGAGGGTAGCACCGGGAGCGTACAAGTCAGCGCGAAGCAGCTTGCCTTCGTTGATGCAGTCCCAAACCCACTGGGGCTGGATGTAGGTGCGGCCGGGGATACGGGAACCAGGCTTGACTTGAGAGTCGGCATCGGGGATGGCGGGGAGAGATTCTTGAGGGAGCTGGGGACGGTCGACGATTTGATGAGTGATGCGGGGGTCTGTCTCGTCGTGGGTGAAAGCACCACCACCGAGCACGGAGGCCCAACCGACGCGCTTGCAGCCGAATGAGCGCAGGATGAATTCCAGAGGGCCCTTGGGGGCTTCGCGGGAGATGTAGAAGACGAAGGGGGCGAAGAGGGCACCGGCCTCGTTGCCGCTCATGGAGGGCTGGGGGAGGGTGTCGGCTTCGGGAGCCTCGGTCTCGAAGCGGTCAATGGCATCTGTGTTCTCTTCCGTGGTGTCCATGGCGGTGTCTTCTGTGCTCTCTTCCAAACCGGCCTTCTTGATCACCTTGTCCACCTTGGCTTGGAGTTCCTTGGAAACTGCCTTGTTGGAGTTGCCGTTGGCCTGGGTCTTTCCTGCTTCGATGGCCTTGGGGACATCACCGACTGTGCGGCCCTCGAGGGTGAAAGCAGCCAACTCGGCACCGTTCTCGTCACTGCGGGTATCAAACTTAGGGGGGTATCTCAGACCGATTCCGGAGTACAGGCGGAAGTTGACGAAGCCCAGAAGGGTTGTGTAAAATTCGACAAAGGTGGCCATGATACGGTAGTCGACGTCGCCGTTGACACGCTGCACGAATCGGTAGGGAACCAGCCACATAATATCTTGTCCTTGGATGGTAGCCTGGTAGTAGATACCCTTAATGGACAGGAAGGATCTGCGCAGAGAGTTGGTCATGATCAGGTAGTGCTGGAACTCGTGGCAGAGGCGCTGGCAGAGCGCAATGGTCTTGGCGGGAACATGGTCGGAGGAAGGAAGGGTGGCGAAGAGGAACAAAAGAGAAAGGGCATCGTCGAGGTCACGGAGAGCATCGATAAAGGTTGGGTAGCGCTCCTTAATGACATGGTCCAAAGTGAGTCTCGGGGCGTTGTTCTTTTCTAACCGGGACGCATCGCCAACTTCTCCACGACCGAGGGAGCGAGCGATCTTCTTAGCAAGCGCCTTCTGGTCACGGAACTTGTTGAGCAAGGGCTCGTGCAACAAGTACTGAATATCCTTGGTGTAATAGAATGTGGTGTTGGGGGTTGAGGTCTTGGAGGCCTTCTTCTTGTTACGGGGCTCGCGAGGGTAGATACCTGATGAAAAAGGATCTGGTTAACTTTGCGACTCATTTGAAACATCCATCCGAGGGTCATTTACCCTTGAAAATGCAAAGGCGACGGAAGTCTGGCAGAGAGATTTGCAGTTTGCGCACGGCCTGAGTTCTGGTAATGTAGTTCTTGGCCGAACCAGAGGTTCCTGGGGATCAATGTTAGCAGAGCATTCACCAAGTAAGATCAAGCAACCATACCCTTCTTCTTAATTCTCGCCATGGTGTAAAGTGAATCTATGCAATCGGGGCTGATAAGAAGAAGAAAAATTTCTCGATAACTTTTTTTTTCCTTTCCGCACCGGGGTGGTCCGTGCGAAGGCGGAGAGCAGCCCGGACTGGGAATCGCATGTCAACAACTCCCTCCTCTCGCAACACCATGAAGGACAGAGGGATTGTTGTTTTTGGCGCTGCCTTTGTGCTGCGCCTACTGCTCACATGTCTGTTTCCGGCTTTACCAGATCTCTTGACAGGGAGGGTGGAGGTGTCAACCCCTGTCAATAGCTTCAAACGCCGTACGTGTCTCCCGACAGTTGCTCCAGGCAGGAAACTAATTCACCTCAGTCCAGGAAGGTCTGTTCTTATATACGAGGAATGTGTCGCCATATGATGGAGGTGTCTATCACCAGGTTCGTGGATCTTTAGCAAGCCATCTGTTCTCCCATTGACAGCGCAATGCCTAGGCTCCACTCCTACTACCATTGTTTGCTCTACTGCCAGACGCCAAGAGCTCGCCCTTACCAACTGCTATCTTTTACTTCTTGGTGGACCTGTTGAATGCGTATGCATTGCTCAAAATCTCCCAGTCCGGTCAATCGGTCAAATCGAGACTACATACAGCGGTTCGACAGCATGTGCGGTGGGATGGGGTATCAGTTGCGGCATGGTATGTGGACTCTCATATCTTCCCATTGATCCCGAAATACTGACATGGGAAGGTTCCTGTTCAACCCTTTTACGATTGCAACATGTCTCGCGCGGTCTACGAGTGTGTTCACTACGTCCGGAATCCTCTTCGCCGTTTCCAATGCAGTTGGGGGAAACAGCGTCAATGCTATGCTGGCTCTGGGTTTCTCCTCATATCTGTCTCTTTATCCCACGCTACTATTCATCCCATTGGTCTTACTCTGCTATGACATCCGCGCCCAAGGACCCAACCCACCCAAGATCGGCTTATATGTCGTGCAACACGCCGGCCTGCTGCTCGCCAGCATTGCAGGCCTGCTCGGTCTGTCTTGCCTGATCACCGGAAACTTTTGGGAATTTATCTCAGCGACATACGGATTCCACCTGTTGGTTCCGGACTTGACTCCCAACGTTGGTCTCTGGTGGTACTTCTTCATCGAGATGTTTGACTCCTTCCGGGAGTTCTTCCTTGGGGTATTCTGGCTTCACCTGGCCAGCTATGTGGGCGGTTTTACAGCCCGCTTCCAGCGACAGCCGCTGTTTGTGATTACTTCGCTTTTGGGTGTGTTTGCTGTCTTCAAGCCCTACCCCAGCATTTCCGATGCTTCGCTGTTCTTCGCCATGCTGCCATTGTACCGACATCTCTTCCCCCGTGAGTCTCTCCCTCTCTTTCCTCCCTTCTCTCCGTCCCTAACTCCATACAGTGATGCGATACACCTTCTTCGCAGTCTCAGCGATCCTCTACTCCAGTCTCCTCGGACCGGCCTTCTACCACCTCTGGGTCTACGCAGGATCCGGCAACGCCAACTTCTTCTACGCCATCACCCTAGTATGGAGCCTGGGCATATCAATCCTACTAGCAGACGCCGTCTTCGCAGCCCTCCGCGACGAATGGGAACAACAAAACCCAGATCAAAAAGGCGCCGAAGTACGCCAAGTGTAACTTATCAATGCATATTCCAGGGTCATTTCAACACCTTAGACAAAATCAAGTAATCCGGCTCCTTAACCGTCCCATTCCTCAACCTCCTCGGACCAGGCGAATACTCATCAACCCCATACCCAAGTCTCTCATAAAACCTAGTCGCAACCCCATTCGACTTAAAAACAGTCAACATAGCCTTCTCAACACCAACTGCCCGTCCAACCTCCTCCATCCTCCCCATCAACTTCCCCCCAATTCCCTGTCCCCGCACTTCCCCCGCAAGATGAATCTCATAACAATACACAACCTCCTTCCCATCCTCGTAGGTCACCATAAAAGATAAAAACCCAGTAACACATCCCGACCCCCGCACAATCATGTACTTCATGTCTGGCAATTTCATCTCCTTCCGCTTCTTGCTCCGCGACCACCCACTGCTAGATGCGTATGCGGCGCTGGATGTCTCTTCCACTAAATCCAGACATACTTCTAGATCTGCCTCGCTGATTGTGGCAGATGTGTAGATGTCCACTTTTTTTGTGTCTTCTGAGGCATATTTGCTTATGAAGTCTGCTGCTGAGAGGGCATTTGTGCGTTCGACCAGTGGGAGGGCTGTTTTGTTAGCTGTGTTGTCTCTGTTGGAATCGCGCGTTGATACCTTTTGAGACGCGTCGGGTCTTTTTTACTTTGGGTTTTGTGATTCGGTTTCCTGTCGCGGACGACATGGTCAGATCGATATCGTGGAGTTTGGGGTTTGGATCAATGAGTTGAGGAGCGGAGGTTCTAAGTTTGGAAGACGCGATGCGATGGGCCGAGATCTCCGCCTGTTGACTGTGAATATATAACCCCGCGACTCGGTTTCTCTAGATAAATTGGACATCACTTCCCAAGGTAGAAATTGTATAAAAATTTAGTAGTCTACAGGTCTGGATCTAAGTAGTCGACAGAAAGTAAAATGTATTTATTTAACATCATTCCAAGGTTAAGTAATTCCAAGATTATTAGCGCTGGCTAGCAGCATGCTCTTCAGCGCGGCGTTCAGCCTCAGCAGCGCCCAGTTCCTCGAACACATCTACACCCCAGCGGAATGGATAGTTGTAGCGTGTGTTCTTGTCGAGCTTGTTGAGGGCAGCGAATTCCTCGTCGGGAATGACAAAGTCTGCATTTGTTAGTTGAAAGCTCCCGAAGACCAACTGAATCACATACCTTGGAAATTACTCTCAATGCGAGAGGGCGTGACACTCTTGGGCAACACAGCAGAACCACGCTGAATAGCCCAGGAAATAAGCACCTGCGCTGGGTCCTTGTTCAGCTTCTTGGCGATATCTTCGACGACAGGGTCGTTGACCACACTATCAAATCAGGATAAGCATTAACCAAGACCAGGCTTTCAAGTCAGATACTAACCGAGGCAAATCATAAATATTATTCCCAAGCGGAGAATAAGCCACAGGAAGAATATCCTGCTCTTTCAAGTACTTGAACAACTCCGGTTGCAAGAGGTAAGGGTGTGCCTCGATCTGGTTAGCAGCAGGGGGAATCCGAGCAGTTTTCAGAAGCTCCTTGGTCGCGGAAATAGTAAAGTTACTTATTCCCAGACTTCTGATCTTGCCAGACTGCACGAATTTCTCCAGGGCAGCCCAGGTTTCCGAGACCGGCACGTCGGCTAGTCGGAAGCGCTTGGTGACCGGGTCGGTCGGGGTGAGTGTTTCGTTGGTGTGGGCAAATGCGACAGGCCAGTGGATCTAGATTGATGAGAAATGTATTTATGATCTGGGGCGGGTGTATTACCAGGTATAGGTCCAGGTAGTCGGTTTGGAGATCGCTCAATGTCTTGTTGATTGCTTCTTCCACATGGTTTGGGTGGTGGTGTGTGTTCCATAGCTTGCTGGTGATCTCGAAACGTATTAGTTTTGAGTTATTCTGTTGCTTGAAAGTAGGTTTGACCATACGAAGATGTCTTCACGAGGGACTCCGGACTTCTTCCATCCGTTTCCTACTTCGTTCTCATTTTGATAGCATGCAGCGGCATCGATGTGACGGTAGCCTTTTCGGAGAGCGGTTTCCACTGCGTTCTCGACTTCATGGGGCTTGGAGAGCTGGAATCGGGTTAGTGTTGTGACTTGTCCTGTTGTTTATTGTTTGTAGAAACCATACCCAAGTGCCGAGACCGACGGCGGGGATTTGATAGCCCGAGTTGAGCTTGAAGGTTCGTCCGAGAGACATACTTAAGTAGTTTTGAGTGAGAATGTCTATAGCTACAGTGGTATATATATATTCAAGAGTTCTCGGACAAGAGGGGTTGCCAGCTATTTATGTTCTCAAGTCGCACCCCGCTGCGATGTTGCGAGGCGGATGTCGATCTCGCGCCATCGGCTATTCGGAGATCTATAAAGGATCTGTCGCGATATGCCTATCAGATTGCACCATTGCGATAAGCTATTCTATTTAAGTCTAACTTAAGGTAAATTTGATATTTAATATGTTGAATTTATTCAAGAGTCTAGCGAGCTAAATCTAGTTGATCTTGATGGCCAACTTGCCAAAGTGCTTTTGAGCCCACTGCATACCAAGTCAGTCTTTGAAGAGAGTTTCGAAAAGCTGGATGGAGCGACTTACCATATACTCATAGGCTTCCTTTGTCTGATCGAGGCTAAACACCTTTTCATCCACAACCGGGTGAATATCGTTGGCCTCAATGGCTTGAACCATGTCCTTCATGAGAGCCTTGCTGCCAACATACACACCCCGAACAGTGCAGATATGCGTCAATGTTTCCAAAACAGTCGGCTGAGTCTTGGGGTCCACACCTCCGAGGAACCCAATGACACTGATGATACCCTCCAGCTTGACACACTTGAAGCTCTGCTGAAGGGTTCCACTACCACCCACTTCAATGATGTGATCAACACCAGTCTCACCAGGGGTCAGCTTGCGAGCTGCTTCGCCCCAGTTAGGATCAGTCTTATAATTGAGAACATGGTCAGCGCCGAGCTTCTTCAGCTTCTCGGCTTTCTCGGCAGAGGAGGTTGTCGCAATCACTGTTGCGCCTGCAGCCTTGGCGAACTGGAAATAATATCAGTACATTCAATTCAGACTCCGGAAATAAATTCCAATCTTACCTGCAATCCAAAAATACTAACTCCACCAGTTCCCTGTACCAAAACAACCTGACCAGGCTTCAAGGGCTTCAAGCCATAAAGCGCATTCCAACTGGTAAGCGCCGCGCATGGGAGAGTACTCGCTTCAAGCGCAGTCAGATTGCTGGGAGCTTTGACAAGACCCTGCTCGTTGAAAACCGCATACTCGCGGAGAGTGCCGTCGACAGCACCGCCCAGACCGGTGGCCGCGGCATGTGGGTCAATGGGGCCATATTGGTGGCCCTGGTTGAAGAGAGTTGCGACCTGATCGCCCTTCTTGAATTCAACGACCTTGGATCCTACTTCGAGGACTTCGCCGGCACCGTCGGATCCTGGGACGACGGGGAAGTTGAGGGCGAAGGGGTATGCGCCCTAACAATGCGATGTGAGTTACGATGTTCGAACCGGGTACGCAGTATTTTGGCGGCGTGAGTTGGGGATGGTTATTTCTATCTTACCTTGGGAATAATCAAGTCACGGTAGTTCAATGAGGCAGCTTGAAGCTTCACCAGGACTTCATTTTCACCGACTTTTGGGACGGTGGCATCCTTATAGACCAGACCGTCGAGGTCGTGTTCCTTGTCCTGCACAACCCATTGCTTCATAGTGGAGGGAGACATTCTGATATGATCAAACTTTCAATGTTGAACGTTAGAACTTTAGAAATCAACAGTTGAATTCGAATAGGTGGGATGTCGTTTATATGAAGACTCTGACGTATGTGATCCGCATTCGGTTCCACTTCTTACCAAGACTCTCTCCAAACCTGTTAATGATCTTCACTGCTCTGGATTTAAGGCTCTTGCTCGGAGACTTAGTCGGGGAGGGGAGCAAAGTTGCTCCATCGTTGCTGCTCAAGTGGGTTGGGAATAACACCCATGATATCACATGATATCACAAGGCCCTTCAGCTTCGGAACCTTTTTTGTGCTTTCTTGCAAGGGGTTGAAGCTATAAATCGGTCGTTCGCAGGTGCATTGCACATCGACTTCAGGAGATCCTGTTTATGTGTTGTGACATAGATCGCGAGGGAGGTCACGACATCGCGAAGGTCCCCAGTTGGTCGCGGGTAGGGAGTACCAGAGGCCGATATAGCCACAGAGACACGCAGCATGATCCAGCGACTCGGGCTCGGCGTAGTAATTCTCAAGTGTCGAGCGTATACTGTGATTTTGGAGGTCTATTGAAGACATGGAGATCTGACCCGATCGATCCGAAGGGGCCTTGAGTACTCCGTCTACTCCGGAAACCATTTTCGACCGATAGTCCGAATTGATCAATATCTCATGAAAATCGCGAATTCCAACGTGGAGTATAACAAGTCGCAAAGGCTTAAATAGCAGCCAAAAAGCGAAGGATGAGGTCGGAACAGACGTGAGAGCTGCAGGGCAGGGGTTCCCCGCCTGGATCGTCAACTGCCCACTGTATTCGCTTCATTTCTACCTCTCCATACACATTTAATAATAGGGAGCAATACTTTATAGAGATACTACGTGTCCCTATCGAGGGCATACGTGCACTGCGTTGACTGCCAAAAAAGAATCCAGTCCTATCCCTCAATGAAGGTCGACAGCACGTCAACTCTGCCCATCCGAGGCCTAGCACCGAACGTGAAACAATCCACAAAGCCAGTCCGTTCCGATCAGATCGCGATGTTTGCGCGAGTCATCTCTTATCCACCCCTGGGACAGTTGACCTGTGTCCGAAAGCCCCAAGCTTCATGCAGCCAGGATGTAAGTTCCACAAGTCTGGCCATCTCAGGCATATGAAGAAAAGAATAGCCCAGGATATAAACTGATCTTTTTTATAGCTGCGATTCACCGTCACAATCGAATCCAGCAGCTCCTTCCCCGCACAGCACTGGGAAGCGCAGATATGGCACAATATCACCGATTCTGAATGGACTGCACTGCAATTACAAGAATGCGATACGGAAACTGCGCCGTTATTAACTGGAACCAAGTCTGACTGCCATCACTTTCGCCATGTATTCTCGGGGGAAATCACCCTACCCGAAGCAGGGGGCCATGCGCAATTCACAGTCCGGTTTCGCACTGGCCCTGATACAGACTGGCAGTGGGCTAACCAGAAACATCCCGTCAGTGACGGAGAAATAATTTATTGTCCACGTTCTGCTTTTGACGCGAGAGCATCGACCGAGGAATCCGATTCAAAGTCCAGAGAGGACCTTGGGAGGTACATCGACAATCTATCAGATCAAGTGGAGGTCACATCGCGATCTAGCGAGGCACCTGGGGCTCTGCTATGGTCCATCACAGGAGATGTAGCCCCTGCGACAGACGAAAAATCGAGTTACAAAACTCTTGTTCTTGGCACTCCGTCTTCGACAGCGAGGTATCTTTCCCTGGTGCGGGTTTGGAGTCCCTGGTTGGGACCTAGGCATGGAAGGGATCAGTTCCATCTTGCCGAGGATGCGGTACTATGTTCATTCCTACGCACAGATGGGACGCACCTGGTCCTTTTGGCGGTGTCGGGAATAAATGATGTCCTGACTATATTCCAGTCGGGCCACGATGGTGAAGTGGTTGTCAAAGCGAGGAGCGACAACGTCACACCCGCAAGCTTTCATGTCCTTGTAGCAGCAGCAGATGATTTTGAAATCGCTATGTGTGCTGTGGTGTATGAGGCACGGAAGGTGGTCAGACCGTTCGCTGTGTCTAATCCTGCGAATGAAGAGCAGGCTCCTCCATCGCCCCTAGGAGACGATGTGGTGGTTGTGGAAAAAGATCCAGCTGCTCAGTGGTTGTCGGAATGGTTTGATGGGTTGACTTACTGCACCTGGAATGGCTTGGGGCAGGATCTCACAGAGAAAAAGCTCCTGGAAGCTTTGGATTCATTGAGAGACAATGGGATTAACATAGTGAATCTTATAATCGACGATGGATGGCAGACAAACGACCACGAAGGAGAATCACAGTTCAAGCGAGGATTGAAACAATTCGAAGCACACCCAGAAGGATTCCCCAATGGACTGAAACGGACCGTGGATCTGATACGCCAGAAGAACCCCAGAATCGAACATATCGCTGTGTGGCATGCCTTGCTGGGCTATTGGGGCGGCATCTCTCCTGACGGCGCTTTAGCACAGAGGTTCAAAACCAAGCAAGTGAGAATAAAAGACTCTGCAGCCAATGGACCCATTGCCCAGAATCTCCCAGAGGGGAGAATCGTCGCAATTGACCCAGAAGATATCCAGCGCTTCTACGACGGGTTCTACAACTATCTAAGCTCTGCGGGTATTGACTCGGTCAAGACCGATTGCCAGTTCTTCCTTGACCTTCTGGACGATCCTGCAGACCGAACAAGCTTCATGACATCTTACCAAGACGCCTGGTCTATTGCTTCCCTCAAGCATTTCGGCACTCGGTCAATATCATGTGGCTCGATGACACCGCAGATAATGTTCCACTCCCAAATGCCAACTAACAAACCAACTCTCCCCCTGCGGAACTCCGACGACTTCTTCCCTGAAGTACCTGCCTCGCATCCATGGCATATATTCTGCAACGCACACAACTCCCTATTCACCCGTTATCTCAATGTGTTGCCAGACTGGGACATGTTCCAAACAAGTCATCCGTACGCATCATTCCACGCCGCAGCAAGATGTGTATCAGGAGGACCAATCTACATCACCGATGAACCTGGAAAACACGACATCTCCCTGCTGGATCAAATGACAGCGCAGACCGTGACAGATATCACGGTGATTCTCCGACCCAGCATTATCGGACGGACCATGGACATATATAATGATTACAACGAAGGGCAAGTTGTGCGCATTGGAAGCTATACCGGCTGGGCAAAGACGGGAAGTGGCATTTTGGGCCTTTTCAACATTCGCTCCGACGAGGCATCGACTATTGTGTCTTTGATGGATTTCCCTGGAATCCACGAGGATTCACAGGGTCTATACATTGTCCGTGCGCACACAAGTGGGAAGATGTCAAATCTTTTGCGGCCGTTGAGCAATGACTCTCTGGTGTCGATCGTACTCGAGCCGAAAGGATGGGAGATTCTTACCGCGTATCCTACCCTTTCGTTTTCGCTCAAGGGGAGTCATGGAGACAGCTCACCGGGCGATAATCTTACTCATGTCGCTGTGTTGGGACTATTGGGCAAAATGACTGGTGCATGTGCTGTGGTTTCCTCGGGAATGTCAATGGTTGAGAGTGGTCGCTTGCGAATCAATATCAGTTTGAAAGCCCTGGGAACGGTGGGTGTCTATATCTCGGATCTGCAGTACCGAAGCATTGAGAGCCTGATGGTTATGATCTTGGGGAGACCTGTGCCTCAGAAGACAGTTTGGAAGGAGGGTGGAGACAGTTCTACCGTGCTGGCGATCGATATATTCGCGGCATGGAAGGCGATGAAGCTAGACAGTGGCTGGAGCAACGAGGCCCTGGTGCAGGTTTATGTAGGTTAAGTCTGGAATGAGTTAGGACATTCCGTTGAGCTGTCAAGTCGAAATCCATCTTGAAGCCGTTGAATCACTGGAGAGAGACTCGAACAGACTCGAAGCCGTTGCAACTTGTGTTGATGTGCGTAGAGCCCATTGCGGCAGAAGATCAACACGGCAAGATAAGAGCCGGAACATTGATAATCCGGCCTTTATCGAAAAGAATCTCGGAGCTCCGCTTGAGCGTGTCCAGACGGAGTCCAATTGTCCTGCTATTTGTCTTTGTTTCGCATTACCGGCTCCATGAGGCCACAGACGGTGTCGCTCAGTCGAGCGCCATACAGCAACCTTTTGACTGGCCGAATTCCAGCCGGAGCACGCGGGTTCACCGCAACGGCCCTTCCATTGCGCGCGAACACAAATCGGCCCACATTGTCCAAGGCCTGCACATGCTTCCAGCAGCAGAGATGGATTACACAAAAATATGTTCAGCGCATGAAGGATGGTGAGCAGGAGTGGGCTGGCTTTGCGAAGGAGATCAAGGCAGGGAACAGGTTGAACTTTGCGCAACACTTGGAGGAACGAGGGCTGATTCATGATGTTGTTGGGTGAGTGGGATTGCTCCATTCCATTGGATTGTGTGGTTGGTGAAATTTGCTAACGTCAATTCTTCAGTGAACGTGATCTGTTGCACGAGATTCTTACGGAAAAACGGGCTGGTATATACGTGGGCATTGATCCGACTGCTCCCTCAATGCATGTCGGACATATGCTTCCCTTCATGGTACTCGCATGGGGTTATGTTTGGGGTCTACCGGTTACATTCTTGGTGAGTCGAATCATGTCAGTTGGCAAAAGCGGCGTCGACTAACATAATCTAGCTTGGCGGTGCTACATCTCGAGTCGGTGATCCTAGCGGTCGATTGAAGGGCCGCGACGCAGTTCACTCTTCGATCCGGAAAGCGAACATGGCCAGCATGCATATGCAATTGAAGAAGTTGGGCGTGAGCATTGAGCAGTACGGTCGGAGACACGGACACCAGCGACACCCCATGTGGAAGCGGGCGTTGACCAACAATAATACCTGGTGGAACTCAACGCCGTTCCTGGAGGTGCTACGAGATCTCGGTGCTTACATGCGCCTGGGTCCTATGCTTGGGAGAGATACGTAAGTGTTGTTGAACTTTTGCAACTGTTTCACGGGCTGACTTTCCCCAGTGTTAAGACACGATTGGAAGGGGATGGTATGTCCTTTGCCGAGTTCTCATACCCGCTTCTCCAGGCGTGGGATTGGTGGACTATGTTCCAGAAGGGAACTCAAATTCAGGTTGGAGGTGCCGACCAGTATGGAAACATTCTGTTCGGCATGGAAGCTGTAAAGTCTATCAGTCGGAATACTGCGGACGAACAACTTCGCCGTCCACTAGATGATAAGATTGACCACCCCATTGGATTCACCACGCCACTTCTCACAGCACCAAATGGCGAGAAGTTCGGAAAATCAGCTGGAAATGCCATTTGGCTCGACAAAGACCTGACATCCACATTTGAACTATACCAATTCTTCGTGCGCACACCCGACGATGTAGTCGAGCGTTACCTCAAGCTGTTCACTTTCATCCCCCTGCCTGAAATCGCTACCCTGATGGAAGAGCAGAACAAGGATCCCTCGAAGCGCGTTGCGCAGCATGCGCTTGCATCTGAATTCGTCGAACTGGTGCACGGCAAACAGGAAGCCGATGCCGTCGCTCTTCAACACCGTCAGCTCTTCCGTCCTCGGGCTTCAACCGCAGCCCCTACTCCTCTCTCCAAAACCTCTGTCCCCCCTGCCAGCCATGCGCGATCCATTACCGCTGGCTTCGAAACCCCTCAATCAGGGAACCCCTATGCTCCCCAAACCAATTTCGCCAACATGGGTGATATGAAAGTGACTCTCCCAGAGTCTCTTGTTTTCAACCAGCCCTTCAACAAGGTCCTCTGGTCCGCTGGCCTTGTTTCCTCCAAGGGAGAGGGCCACCGCGTCATTGTGAACAATGGCGCAAAGGTCGGCAGTCGTCCCGGTGACAGCGGCCCGATGACAGACCAGCTGTCTTTCACCCCCATCCGTATTTGGGCTGCCGAGAAAACCAAGGAGTTTGTGTTGAACGGCAATCTCCTCATTCTCAAGCTGGGTAAATGGAAGTTCAAGTCTGTCCACATTGTGAGCGACGAGGAATTCCGCACGCAAGGGCTCACTGCTCCTGGATGGGAAGAGTTGAACGCGCCGGCCGAGGAGAGCGAGACGACAGAGAGCGAGCCAACGGAGTCCACGGAGCCAACGGAGCCCAAGGCATAAATAAAATCTCCCCTGTAATATTAGAATCAACATGTACAATATTCTCAATGAGCCCAGTACATACACCACTGTAGTACTCAGTAAAAGTGGAGAAAAGTGGACAGGTCCAAAGTGCTTAACGCGTCGCGCGTTATCTCCTATCGTGTCCGTGTTCTCCGTGTAGTGAACCTCCCTTCTTCACTACCCTTGAACACAACCACACTGTTAAATTTATAAAATGGCCAAGGCATCGGCTTCATCGCCAGCGTCGTCGCCAGCATTGAAGCGCGCGACGCCCAGTACGCAGAACATGCGTAGCCAGAAGTCCATCCTGGGCTTCTTCCAAAAGTCGTCCCCCGCGACGCCCTCCACAAACCGCGTACGCGAACCGGCTTCTTCTCCTGCGCAAAGGGCAGCAGAGCAGCGAGGTGGGAGCGCAGTGAAAGCAACACCAAAGGACAACAAGCGGAGCTTTTCGAGCTTTGCTCAAGACTTGAGTCCGGTGCCCAGTAGTGACCTTCCGATTCCTGAGGAGGAAGAAAAGGAAGAAAGTGGGAATGGGGTGAAAGTGAGTTTGAGAAGGCTTTTCGATTTATTTGCTTGATATTAATCTTTCACTCTTTAGATCACCAAAGAAGAGTCGAATGCTGCCATGTCTCCTTCGCGTCGAGTGCGTTTCCCGATATCTCGATCGCGTTGTTCATATTTACTGACCTGTTTGCTTAGGGTCAGAAGAAGGTTAGCTACAAGGAATCGGATTCCGAGGGTGAAGACGACGACGAAGTCATCTTCCGTCCCAATCGCAAGGATCGCGGTCGTGCCACCAAGAGAAGGAGGACGGAACCCGAGAGCGAGGATGAGTTCAAGGAAGCCGAGGATGATGCAGCTGTTTCGGATGATGGTGAGTTGGACAACTGCAGGGACATCGTTGGAGCTTGCTTGGCTAACTGGTGATAGAACTGGACGATTTCGTCGTTGCGGATGACTCCGATGAGGAGGTTGTCTCGTCTAAGAAGCCTAAGAGACCTGCTACGCAATCGAAGCGCAAATCTGTCGCCAAATCCTCGCCCCCACCTGCTCCCTCCTACGACGATGACCTAGACATGGATATACCCGAGGGAGAGGGCTCAGCAGGAACCGCGAAGAAATGGGCATTTGATCCAGAGAATAAAGAGCCTCGCAAAGAGAAAGCGGCTGTTGCCTCTACCAAGGCAGCCAATGCTAAAAAAGAAAAAGCCCATGTCAAAGAACCGGAGCAGCGGTACTCGTGGCTTGCATCACAAAAGGATATGGATGGTAACCCCAAGGGCCACCCCGAGTACGATCCTCGTACGCTCTACATTCCTCCCCTGGCGTGGTCTCGCTTCTCGCCATTCGAGAAGCAATACTGGGAAATCAAGCAGAAGTTCTGGGACACCGTTGTCTTTTTCAAGAAGGGAAAGTTCTACGAGCTATACGAAAATGACGCCACGATTGGACACCAACTGTTTGATCTCAAGCTGACAGACCGAGTCAACATGCGAATGGTCGGCGTCCCTGAGATGAGTTTGGATCATTGGGCCAACCAATTCGTGGCCAAGGGATACAAGATCGCTCGTGTTGATCAATCCGAGTCTGCCCTCGGCAAGGAGATGCGCGAGAGGGAAGGCAAGAAGCCTACCAAGGAAGACAAAATCATCAAGCGAGAGCTTGCATGTGTTCTTACAGCTGGTACCCTGGTCGAAGGATCAATGCTTCAGGATGACATGTCCACCTACTGTGTTGCCATCAAGGAGGCCATTGTGGACGAGCTCCCTGCATTCGGAATTTCGTTCGTAGACACAGCCACCGGCCAGTTCTTTTTGTCTGAGTTCCAGGACGACGCAGACATGACCAAGTTCGAGACTTTCGTGGCACAGACTCGCCCCCAGGAACTACTCTTAGAAAAATCCTGTGTGTCTACCAAGGCCATGCGGATTCTCAAGAACAATACTAGTCCCACCACGATTTGGAACTTCATGAAACCTGGCAAGGAGTTCTGGGAATCCGATGTCACACTTCGTGAACTAGAAGCCAGTGACTACTTCGTTTCCGCCGATGAGGACAACGTTACGGCTTGGCCTGAGGCCCTCCAACAGGCTCGCGAGAAAGAACTGGTGATGTGTGCGTTCGGTGCTATGGTCTCGTACTTGCGTCTGCTCAAGATCGAGCGGGACTTGATTACCATTGGTAATTTCACATGGTATGATCCAATCAAGAAGGCCACCAGTCTTGTGTTGGATGGACAGACTTTGATCAACATGGAAATTTTCGCCAACTCCTTTGATGGTGGTATCGAGGGCACTCTTTTCCAGCTACTCAACCGCTGTATCACGCCGTTTGGAAAGCGAATGTTCAAGCAATGGGTTTGCCACCCGTTGGTTGACTCGAAGAGGATTAATGCGCGCCTGGATGCAGTGGATTCATTGAACGCTGATCCAAGTGTTCGTGATCAGTTCTCCGCGCAGTTGACGAAGATGCCCGATCTCGAACGTCTGATCTCGCGAATCCACGCAGGAAACTGTAAGGCTCAGGATTTCGTGCGTGTTCTCGAAGGATTTGAACAGATCGATTACACGATGGGTCTTCTCAAGGAGAATGGTGCCGCCTCAGACGAAAGTATCATTGGTGAGCTGACAGCTGCCATGCCCGATCTGGCGTCTCTTCTTAATTACTGGAAGACTGCCTTCGATCGCCCAAAGGCCCGGGACAATGGAATTCTCATCCCTGAGACTGGCGTCGAGCAGGACTTTGACAATTCCCAAGCGATTATTGAACAAATCCACAAGGACCTCGACAACCTGCTCAAGAAGGCCCGTCGGGACCTGGGATCCTCTGCGATTTGCTTCCGCGACAACGGCAAGGAAATCTACCAGCTTGAAGTTCCCGTCAAGGTGAAGGACATTCCTAAGGATTGGAACCAGATGTCTGCCACGAAGCAAGTCAAGCGTTACTACTTCCCGGAGTTGCGGAGTCACATTCGCAAGCTGCAAGAAGCCCAGGAGACTCACAGCCAGATCGTCAAAGAGGTCGCTGCGCGATTCCATGCTCGCTTCGATGAGTCTTACAACACTTGGCTCGCTGCCGTGCGCATTGTTTCGCAACTCGACTGTCTGATCAGTTTGGCCAAGGCCTCTGGGGCTATTGGCCACCCCAGTTGCCGTCCAGTCTTCGTGGAGGACGAGCGTAGCATCCTTGAATTTGAAGAGCTCCGCCACCCCTGTCTCCTTTCTTCCGTTGAAGACTTTATTCCAAATGACATTCAGCTCGGTGGCAAGCATGCTAACATTGACTTGTTGACTGGTGCTAATGCCGCCGGAAAGTCTACTCTTCTGAGAATGACCTGTGTCGCCGTCATTATGGCTCAAATTGGATGTTACCTTCCCTGCCAATCTGCCCGAATGACGCCCGTCGATCGAATCATGTCTCGCCTTGGAGCCAATGACAACATCTTCGCCGCTCAGTCGACCTTCTTCGTCGAGCTGTCCGAAACCAAGAAAATCCTATCAGAGGCTACGCCACGCTCCCTAGTTATTCTCGACGAGCTTGGTCGTGGAACTAGCTCCTACGATGGTGTTGCCGTCGCCCAAGCCGTTCTGCACCACATTGCAACACACATCGGTGCACTAGGCTTCTTCGCAACACACTACCACTCTCTCGCTGCCGAGTTCGAAAACCACCCCGAAATCTCACCCAAGCGCATGGCCATTCACGTTGACGATGCCGAACGTCGCGTCGCTTTCCTGTATAAGCTCGAGCAAGGTGTTGCCGAGGGTAGTTTCGGTATGCACTGTGCGTCCATGTGTGGAATCCCCAGCAAGGTCATCGAATGTGCCGAGAATGCCGCCAAGCAATGGGAGCACACAAGTCGACTGAAGGAGAGCCTTGACCGCCAGAAAGGTGGTGGGTACGTTGGTCTCGGGTGGTGGAGTGATGTTGCCTGGGCATTGCGCGATTCTGCTCCCCAGGATGAACCCAACAGTGGTGATATCACGGATCGCGGTCTTGATGTCTTGATGAAAGCTATCGAGGCGCTTTGATATCTCTTTGATCTTTCCGTGACATCTTGTCGCTCTTTATGTGGTTGTATGATTATCTTCTCTGTCGAAGATCTACTGACATCTTCTGTCGGATCTTCTTTCTATTTTCATATTCAAGGACTTTGTGCCCTTGGTCATTATTGCCTTTTCAATATGGCATTCTACTATCTTTTACGGTTTTTAGCATTAAAATGAAGCGCTATTCCCATTTTCATCGCTCCAACTCGCAGTCCAGCATACCAAATGTTCTTATTGTTTTATCATTTTCTCTCCTCTCCTTTGAAGATAAACCAAAGACCAAACAGTAACTCCAAATCCAACACAGGATCGTAGATCAACCTCTACCCCAAGCTGCCCAGGACAACCTCAAGCCCACTCTGAGTCTGAATCCTGTGCAATTTCCCCGTGAAACTTCAACCTGTGAAAACCAATAGATCCGCCATCACATGGATCATCGTAGTAATCGGGGTCACGCTCGTCGTCTTCTTCAGAATGGTCAGAGAAGAAGCCCACTTCAAGAGAAAGACTGTCCATGGCTGCTCCCACAACTTCCTGCTCGGAGCCAGAATCCTTTCTTTCATTGTCAATTGCTTGCTCGTGAGTTGTATCCTCTTTCGTGGCTTTGGCTGGAGCGTCCGGCTTGGGGGAATCCCATAACCACCCAGGGAACTCGGAATTGGTTCTCTCTTCGACAAAGCTATCAGGGGGAGGACTGCTGACGGACACCAATTGATTGTTCTGTCCTGGAGTCATGGAGCCTGGGCGGGAGCTCTGGGGGCTTTGCTTCTTCGTCTCCTTCAGCTCCTCCTTTTTCTTGTCTCCCTTGATGTTGCTGGACTTCGGTAGATAACCCTCTGTATCGGAATCGCCGTCAGAGTCGGTGTCCAGCCTTCGTCGCTTCAGAGATCGCTTTCGTTCAGCACTTTTTTCAAGCTTATTCTTTTCAGCTCCACTGGACGAGGTCGTCTTCGAAGACTTATGAGCCTCCTTTCCCTGCTTGATAGAGCTTTCCGAACTCTGCCGCTTCGGCTTTACGGGAGTCACTGGGGACTTGGTGACTGTGTCTGATTCTTCACCGGCGGTGCTCGAACTGTCGTCGATCTTGATAATGGACATTTCCGGGTCTGGGTGATTGTCAGAGACTTGAGGCACTTCATCCTTCGTTTTCAGTTGCTGTGCAGTAGCCTCATCCCTCACTGCATTGATCTTTGGATCACAGTGGGCAGCACCATCTTGCGAGAGGGTCGTTCCAACTGGCTCTGCACTCTCATTTGAATCCATGTCTTCATTCGACCCCGGTGTATCTTCAGTGGCAGACTGGCTTTGTGGAACATCGAAGCTTTCCAACTCCGTGACATGGGCATTCCCACCAAGTCCCCACAGATGAACCAGATCCTCGACAGCCTGTCGATATCTCTTCTCGCAGGTTTCTTTCCTGAGATTTGCGATTCTGGCCAGTTTGTCGTAGTCAACCTACCATACACTGGTTAGTGTAACTCGTTGACGAGAGTATTGTCATCACCTTGTCATTGCACATGCACAGGTTCGCAAGAACCAGAAGCTTGGTTGTATTGCCGTGGATTCCTATCCACGGTGGAAGGAAACGTTGTTGAGGAGCGTCCATGATGGATGTAGGTGATAGGCGGATGTAGAAGGAGGTTGGAGACAATGAGCTTTGAGGGGAGTTTATACTAAGCCATTGTTTGCTATTTGCATGCGTATGTGATGCAGCTGGCCCGTTTTGGATATCAATGTAGCCTCGAACCAGTGGAGAGCGAGATGGTCTAGATGCCATTAACCAGTGAATGCATACTTAAGTACTAGGTTGACCACGACAAACTGGCGAGAATCGAATCTCAACGAAGAAGCCTGTAAGAAGAAATATCGACAGGCTTTCAAGGATCCTGAAGTCTTATTCACCTATGGGGACTTAGTAGGAATGCTCATGTCACAATGCTGAAGATAATACGTATCTTTATAGTTTCGAAGACAAACTGTTTCTAAAGTTTGATCAATTGTTTGATCGGATTCTTTGGGATTTTAGAGAAGACATATCTTCATCATTGGTATCTACATAATCTCGCTCTCTACTATGTGCCTAAGTAGGGTTCAAAACACATAAATAGTAGAAGGGGGTGGCGCCACGCCACCCTGAGCGTCGAGCGGTGCGCTTGTCAAAAAGAAACTCCATCTGCCTTGCCTGTGACAAACCTGGCTCAACTGCTCGAGGTTCCACAATAGACCCAAGATTGTCCTCTTTATTACAGCTTGACAAATGCAGCAGAGAGATTTATGGAGGTCCAGTTCCTTTTGCTGTAACTGCAACCAATCAGCGTCGTTGTTGAAAGTGGGTGACATCGACAGACTTAAGTGACCAAATAGATTCCCAAGACTTGAGGGTTTGAGCCCCCTGATTAAAGCGGTGGCATGCCAGATAGGAAATTTCCATCTTACACCTAAGAACTTGAGCAGGGAGCAGGAGAACTGGTAGATATACCTGCATCTACAATCTAGAGACATTTAGCTATATTGCGAAAGACATTTACATACACACCAGGAAATAGATCCCAAAGCGAGAGACCCAGGATGCTATTGAATCTACTTCAGCGATACAGAGATCTTCTTTGAACTTTCTCAAAAGACAGGGGACTGTTTGCTAATTTGATTATAAAAGTAATTTAAGAAGCTCATACAACTCACAAACTACTTAAGTACAAACAACCTGTCAATACTCTGCTCCAGGGAAATTCTTGAAACACTCCTCTTCACTGAGATTCCCTCTATCATCATGGGTATGCTTTCAGCATTCTAGGATTCTACGTTTTTTCTTACTAACGTCAGCAAAAGGAATGTTGGAGAGGCTCTGTCCATGTCCAAATCCCCAAAAATGCTGGACAGCAGAGCTGGAAGAATTCGCGAACCTCATACTGGACCTGTGGCTCCTGTGCATTTTATTATATTCTAGCTTTGGATGTATCAAGTGGGCCAAGGACTGCAAGTACCCGTGGACTCATCTCTGACTTCTCTAAGCTGACTTCACAAAAAGTTGTTCGTCGATATCTCCATAAGTCTAATGCCCGGCCGAACCGCCGTCGAGGGGAAACCCCTCGTCAAACCTGGGTCCTTATACGCCGCCAGCGCGTCACTGGAAACGACCGCAAGTTTTTCTACCGTCGGGGATACAGGTCGCAGCCAAGGTTCATTGGTATGAGGATATCTGGCACTGTCAGACCTGGAGTCCTTACCCTCACATCTGTCCACCCTAGCTACCTGATTGCTCAGTTGGGACATCATCCAGAGAGCATTGAAAACCAGGGCTTGTTGGACTGTTCCGGGGGTTCTAAAGTTAGAGGGCCTTTTGCGGTTTCTCTTGGATCTGTATCGAAGAACGAGGAAAGGAATAAGAGGGCTATTGGATCTTTATCAATAGACGCCCCGTTTGAGTAGGGCAAATTCTACTTAAGTAGCTGGTACAATGTTCAATTTCCAGATCATTCTTACAACATTGATTTATATTTGCCCGATCCAAGTGCCCCGTGACAGATACCGTCGTCACACACCACGGCTTCAAATTTTCCAGATGTGGGATTCCTGACCTGGTAGTCAAAAAGTATACAATATGAGACTTGCCAACTTCTAGGTTTTAATCCTGCGGAGGGAGAAAAAAGAGAAAAGAGAAAAAAAGAATAGGATCTCTGGAGGACAACCGCGGCAATGAGACTCGTTTATACTCAAGTGGGTCGGGTCCATTCCCGGCTTAGCTCACAGCGCCTCAACCGTTCGACCAACCAGACTGTCTACTATGCAAGTTGACCCTATGCGAAGGGGTATAGCCAGTGTCGGATACACAGGGCGTGCATTTGGTTAATTTCTGCCCTAATTGAAAATTCATACCTGGATGTTAGACCGCCCCTTACACTACCTGATACGGAGTACAATGTGGTGTAAGTGCTGACCTAAAATGAGAGATATATACATATGAAGAAGGTGAGGGAAGAGAGAGGAACAAGAGAGAGGAACAAGAGAGAGGAACAAGAGAGAGGAACAAGAGAGAGGAACAAGAGAGAGGAACAAGAGAGCAAGAAGGAAAGAACAAGTGACGTGAACGACTACTTCAAGCTGAAAAGACTCTAAATAGCTTCACTTTCAGAAGACAGAGTAACTTGAGGATTTTGTTTACCATATGAAAGCTAGACGTCTCGAGAGTTGCCGCACTACATGACGGAGCTAGCAAACGGCCAATCATCTTGGATATGATTTCATTGTTCTGGATAATGATAACCTATGTGTTTCGCATATGTGTCCTAGCAAAGTAACTCATTTCCTCCCCTTGATCCTGAGCAACCCTAACGTGGACGTTGCGCCGAAAGTACCATCCCATGAACCCCATGTGTATCAACTGTCCTCTCCATCCATATGCGGACACACCCAGCGGAGCAATCCGAGATTTACTCAACAGGCTCAGGCTTGATGGCAGACTCGTCACCATCAGCGACAGGCTCAGACTTGATAGGAGGAAGGTTGTCATCGGAAGTCTGCTCAGGCTCAATGGGAGATCCAGACTCAGTTGCATCTTCGCAGTCGGCCGCGAGATCCATTTCATCCTCAGATTCGGCTTGTTTCTTGGTAGCCTTCTTGCGGGGTCGGGGTGTCTTCTTGGCCTTGGTGGGGGTGTCGAGTACGGTGGACTCGTCCTTGAATGCACGCTCGAGCTTCTTGCGGGAACGGTTCCACATCACCGAGGCTGAACCCCTCTTGAGGCCGGCAAGCTGGGCTAGCTTCTCGTAATCAATCTGGATTTCCTTTTGTCAGTGTGTGCTTTGGGGGTATGGTTGTACTGGAGAGTCATGGGCTTCACGACGTTGGAAAAATGAAGACGTACGTTGGTGGGTGGCAAGCAGAGGATCCCGAGCAGCAGCACCTTCGTCTCCGAGGGGGTCAGGTTGCCGACAATCTTCTCTTTCTCAGGACTGGACATCGTGATCAGTGGGTGTGATCAGTGGTGATGGTCGAAGAGATCGGAGTGAAGGGAAGATGCTTGAGATTGGTAGCGTTGAGATGGGTGAAGTTGGAGAGCGAGCTTGAACGAATTGTATTGATCAAACAAGGAACTTGGGATGGCAATATAGTTGGCGAAGGTGTGAAACTGAACTGCAAGTGAATTTCTTGGGTTATTCTGCGATTTCCCTCCAGCTACTCTGTACCATTGCCTGCATTTCATTCGACTTTGAACAGCACCAGGATACACCATCACCCGTGATTAGTGGTCAGAATGGACGAAAAGACTGGAGTGTATGACACAGTGGATTTGACCTGGTCATGCCTGAAGTACAGTTGAGTGAACTCCAGTATACCAGCCTCTCACAAAACAAGAAATCCATATTTGCTTCAACTATAGATTCCAGACATTGTATATGAAAGCATAAATAATTCACAAGGCTCCCGATCTATGTACTCGGAGAAAATCCACAACATGCACATATCCATTGAAAACCACAGCCTCAGTCCAGAACCGCGAGTTCGCGGTTGCTTGACTTTGCAGTAAGTCACAGAATTCAGGCCCATTGTTGTCAGTGAGATTGTGAAATATGATCGCACCGTTGCATGGCCAACTGATATCCTGATATATACGTTCTAACTCGCACGGAACTTGTCTCATTGTACGTCTCATAACATTTCCGTCATTCACTACCCGCGCGCACTGCTCTGACTCTGGAGACAACTTTCGAGAAATGGGAACGTATCATCTCTTGAAACCAGAGTGGCATGCCTCTGAGAGATCTGATGATAAACATCTTCCTGGGCAGCATAATTTGCCCACCTTGTCGGACAGCGATCTGCTTCACAACTCTCTCTGATACAGCTTTTGCAGTCAAAATTGGCTGGCGGAACGTTGATTGATAATCGGTCAATCCCTTGATCATCGGGGTATCGACCCAAAGCGGATGAACGATACTAAAATATAGGTCAATCTCACATCCTCAAATTGTACCAGTATGGTGTTGACTCACGTAGTAAGCACATTGGGGGCAGCATAAAAGTGCCGGAGCTCTTGTGTAAGGCCCTCATGAAAGGCAAGGGTGCTGGCTTTTGAGCAACAGTAGTCAACCATTTCTCCAACGGCCACGAAGCTTGCAATGCTCGCCATTGTGATAATGTGTCCCTGGTCTTTGCGAATCATAGCAGGGAGGAACTCCTTGATGATATAAAACTGAGAGAGCACGTTGACATCAAAGGTCTGCCGTAGCAAATCTTCAGGTATCTCAAGAATGGTGCGTTGACAAAAGACGCCGGCATTGTTTATCAATACAGTTGGGTCTCCGTGTACCTCTCTTATCGATGCAGCCACCTCAGAGACGGCTTGAGGGCAACTGATGTCGACCTTGTAGAAGTGAACTCCTTCTGCTGTTTCATTCTGAGGTTCATGAACATCGAGGACCAGAACCCGGGCTTTTCTGCGAGTTAGATCTTCAACCATCTGTCCTCCAGTACCACCACAACCCCCGGTGATTAAAATCAGTTCGTGATCCAAGTTCTGTGACTCAAGGTTTAGGGTGTGGTAGTATTGAAAATAGAATACGTAAAATCCGAGAAGAATTGAGATGGCAGCCAGCGAGGTAGCAGTGCCCCATCCTGAAAACATGGCTGCGAGATTGTGACTGTCCATTAACAAGATCTGCTCAAGTGGGAGAGTAGCCCCAAAAGATACTTAAGTGGCAAAGATATTGACAGGGAATCGAGCAGGATCTCCTGCCAATAAGCCTGGTGAGAAGGAGGCGGGGAAGACTGGAGATTTACCACCCTTTTCATTTCTGGCCATGCCACATCACGAGGGAGAATGTATCCCCAATTTGGATATCACTTGATCATGCATGGTGATTAGCAAAATGATCTACATGAGGGGTATTCTACCTTGACATAAGTACTCTTTCACGGGAGAAGCTACCTCTGTTGCTTCTCTGCTCTTTTGTATTGTACCTAGAGTCGACCGAAACTTGTTACCACGGTGCTTTGAATTTAACGATATCAGACCCGCGTTTCTACCTTATGCCTTGTCAGAATCACAAATCTCTCCACATCGAATACGAGTGAATTAGTGCTGCATATTGGGATGTTGTGTGATGAATACTGCAGGCGTTCAAAGAATGTGATGAGCTATGTGACCCTATGACATTATTGTGTCGGGCCCAGGTACTTAAGTATTTATCAATCTTTAGGTAGCATTGCAGGCTTTGCAACTGCAGATTTCTTTGAAAAATAATGTGAGCGGCGGATCGTTTATATTTAAAAATCATTTTGGACTATAGAGCTTCTCACTACTATTCATATTATTCCTAGACTTTGACCATGATCTTTGATAATATACTTGTATTGTCAGGATGGAGAGCTAGAACATGGGGACCTTCTACTTATCCATAAGCATGGAGATCATTGGCTTCATCACCTACATAGCATACCTGCCTTCTTGATCAAAGACACATTGTGCTTGCATCAAAGCTGTCCAGCCACAGAAGCGCTTGTCCTCCCACTTCGCCCAATGCCTGCAAATATGCAGAGAACCCGAATCAGCCTCTGATGCCCCTTGGGAACTGATACTCGGGTCTCGAGTCACCACAAGGCGTAATGAAAGTATCCGTCTACTGTCCGGGTGATTGACTCTCTAGTAGGTTGGATAATCCAAGGTCAGGCACAGAACGTGGGTATCAAATTCAACTTCATTGTGATCGGCATTATATTTGTACATTGTCAAGTCCACGGAAAGTTATGATAACTGGCCGTAAGGAATCTTGATCTTTGGTAATTCGCTCCAGGATACATGATGTGAACACAAACAGAAAACTGAGAGCTAGCCCGTAAATTCCACCAACAGACCCGTGATGGTCATTGAACAACAATGGACTCTGCCATCGGATGTGACAGGTATGATATTATGAGCGAGACTGGGGCTTCGCGTTCTTGATTTGTTGGTAAATTCCATTCCATAACTCAGGGAAAAATGCAGATGTCTGTCGACCTGGTTTGCTGTTGGAGTCGGTGTAGAACTGAGTTGGAGCCCGGCCTTGCCACCATCGTCGTGGCGCAGGCTTCAAGTGCTCAAAGGTGACAGGTCGTACTAAGTCCTTGGTTGGGACAAGATCCCCAATGCGTACTGCTGTTTGTCGGGGAATGGTGTTGAACCGCATGCTGGTGAGATAGAGGACTGCCGTAGGAGGAAGCTCCTTGGCGTACTGGACGGCAGCCTCTCGGGACTTCCGGGCGAATGCTGGGAGAGCCAGGTGGACAAAGTTGACATATGGGGCAGCGGTGTATGAAATGAAGAGCATGGGCAGGGAGCCAGCGGCAATGACTAGATTCACGTTAGGGAAGTTCGGGTAGATGATGCGGGCGCGAAACATACCTCCTGGAACGCTATACCATGGATAGTCTGCAACAGAGCATTCTGGCGCGACAATCAGACAGGCAGCTCCAAAGAGGAGGACGGTGGTGATTCGGAGTGTTCCCAGGAAGATCGCTCTCCCGGTTCCGCCATAGTAGACTAAGATCCGCTCGGGTGGTCCTGTGGTTCTGGGTCAGCATATGAAATCCAGGCCTGATCAGTCATGGACATACCATTTCTTGTAGTAGTCTTCGCTGGGGTCAATGTCCTCTGGACTGGAGACGCGGCAGTAGTGCTGTCTTTCTCTTTTGGGAAGGGCGAGATGTGCTTTTGGGATGGACGAGGGATGTGTGACTTGAAGCGAACGAAGACGGTTTGTCGAATGCCATATTGGCTTGGTAAAGGCTGGAATCTGCGCAGCTGCGGACGAAGGAGTATATGGCACCGCATTCTGTAGTTTTGAAGATCTGAGATCGGCCAGCGGAGGTCAAGTTGCAAATGATTGGCAGATGGTTGGCCGCCTTTGACACCGCTCTGAAACCAGCCAGAGGAAATGCAGTGAGGCACGTGGGCGGTAAGAAGATGGTTGGGCGAGGTTCTGTTCCCAGACAGTCACGTGGGCGGAGAGAAGCTGGTTGGGCGAGGTTCGGTTCCCAGAAAGGCGCGTGGGCGGTAGGTCACGAGGACCGTAAGAAGCGGATCGGTGAAATAATGTTCCGAGGGAGCCACGTGAGCCTTGAGAAGATGATTGGACTCATCACGTGAATGCTGGGAAGCGGATCGGCGGAATAATGTCCCGAGGAAGCCACGTGAACACTGAGAAGATCATTGGGTTCATCACGTGAATGGTGGGAGGCGGATCGGCGAAATAATGTTCCGAAAAAGTCACCGTGAACATTGCCAAGATGTCTCCATCACGTGGGCGGTGAGATGATGATCGGCGAGAAGATGCTCCAGAAACCTTGGAAACTTCTCCGTATTACGTCACAAGTGTTCTAACAAACATGCGTTGCTCAACCATCTGAGGAAGAGCATACCCCTGCATGCCACCCAGCACAGAGAAAGATAAAGCTTGAAAAAGAATCTGCCATCATCGCCGGGGTGAATAGGACATCCATTGTCAGGCTTGCCAGAATGAATACCCAAGCCATAAGTGTGAGAAAATGTAGCAAATCACGCTGCACATCACACCAGACATACCCAACGATATCGAGTGCCTTGGACCTCCCTAGAGTCAGCCTCGATAGGAGTGGAAAGCAGAGGTGGCGATGGGAATCTGCCACCAGTCGCATGGGGCGTAAGTAGACGCAGAAGGATGGCTGGAACAATGCTGGCACTGTAGTCTGACAAGGCAGCGATTGAATCTGCTGCCGATTGCGCGGGCCCATGAGAAGATGTGGGGCACGCAAAAGCAGACTCCCGAGGCGCCCTGGGCGTGAACACACATTTGCGGGAATCTTGCACCGCTCCCATGTCGCAGACACTTGAAACAAGATCCCTCTTACCGCCCCCGAAGGGAAAAACACATAGGAGGGGAATGGGGTGAACGTCGGGGGGGTTGGGGGGGAGAAGGTGGGTAGGGGAATCCACTACCGCTCCCATGTCGTGATGACATATGAACGGGCGCGGCAGTGGATTCCCCTACCCACCCTCTCAGGGCAGGGAGCATCTCTTTTTTGTGAGATATGGGGGGCGGCAAGAGGGATCTTTTGTTGATGCCTCTTGCCGCCCCCCAATGGGATGGGGGATGGAGGGGCGGTAAGAGGAATCTGCCATGCGGATTGCATCGATCGGCAGACCCTCTTACCGCCCCTCTACTGGAGAGGAATTGGGGGGCGATAAGGGGGATCTGGTGCGTACTTCAGCAGCGCCGCAAGCAGATCCCTCTTATCGCCCCCCAACGGGAAGGGCTGGGAGTGGGGAGAGGGGAATCTGCCACCGCTCTTGTATCGCATAGACATTTGAACACCCAGACACAAGAGCGATGACAGATTCCCCTTGCTCCCCTCCTCCGTGGAGATTGATAGGCGGTAAGAGGAATCTGCCACCACTCCTGTGTCGGGGGGGACACTTGAATATGTAGGAGCAGTGACAGATTCCTCTTACCGCCCCTGAAGGGCAAGTACATGAGTTGAGATGGGAAGCGGTAAGGGGAATCTGCCGTGGTGATTGCAGCAAATGGCAGATTCCCCTTACCGCTTCCCATTGTACAGGAGATGAATTGTTGGAATGAGAGGCGGTAAGAGGAATCTGCCACCACTCCTGTGTCGCGAGGACACTTGAGGTGAGGAGCAGTGACAGATTCCTCTTACCGCCCCTCATGGGGCAAAACAATGAGGGGGGGAACAGGGTGTGTGAGGAAGGCGGTGTATGTGTGGGGAGAGTGAGGAAAGCAAAAGCAGAAAAAGGGTGAGGAGCGGGAAGACTGCTGTTTTGGGAGGGCGGTATGTGTGGAAGGGAAGTGGAGAAGGAAGAAAGGAAAAGCAAAAAAAGAAGTGGGAGCGGAAAGGTTACTGTGTGAAGTAGGCGGTGAACTAGCTCTGGTACCCCTTTTGGGACAAGCGGCCAAGAACCCAATTATGATTCTGCCAGCACAACAGCCACCGCTCCCTACCCCAGGCTGCTATTGCAGGCCTGTGAAACCGTGGCATTTACCAGCACCTTGTCATCGTGCTGCTACACCTTGTGCTCAGCTGGCAAAATACCAACGTTAGATACAACTCAACGGGGAGATTTCACTTGCTGCAATACACGTTTAGCCCGCGTGGCCTGTACCTTGGTCTCACACTATGCTTCCATCTTATCGCAACCTCTATGGCATTGTGTCACTATGCATCAGTGTTTTGATCTTCACACCTGTGCAAGCATATGAAAAAATATCTGATGAGACATTGAGCTCTCTTCCTCGTCCCACTTCCGATTTCGATATTCACAATGGCGCCTTGTTGTCCCCCATACTGCAGACCCGCGTCCCTGGTACCCCGGGTTCCACCGCAGTCCTAAACCATTTTGCCGATTTCTTCCAAACTACACTACCAAAATGGAATGTCGAGGTCCATAACTCTACCTCCAAGACCCCAAAGTCGAAGGGGAAAGACGTCCCTTTCCGAAACTTCATTGCAACCCGCGATCCTCCCTGGGCTCAGGTTGGTGACGTGGGCCGGTTGACATTGGTTGCCCACTATGATAGCAAGATCGAGCCGGAGGGTTTCATCGGGGCAATTGATAGCGCTGCGCCATGCGCCATGATCATGCACGCGATGCGCAGTATCGATGCTGCACTGGACAAGAAGTGGACCGCGCTACAGCAACAGGGGTTGGATGAGTTCGTTGAAGCAGTGCAAGGCATCCAAGTCATCTTCCTCGATGGTGAAGAGGCTTTCGCTGAATGGACAGACACCGACTCGCTGTATGGTGCGCGTGCTCTGGCTACGCACTGGGAAGACCAATTCTATCCAGCCACGTCAGAGTTCAAGACACCACTCTCGTCAATCTCGATGTTTGTCCTTCTGGATTTGTTGGGCGCACAGAGTCCCTCCATTATGTCTTATTACGAGACTACACATTGGGCATACCAGAATCTGGGTGAATTGGAGAAGCGTTTCAAGTCGCTGAAGCAATTCAAGGCAACCTCGAAGGATCCATGGTTCATCGATACTGAGAAGGACGTGCATAACCTCACTCCTTCGGGTGGAGTGTTGGATGATCATGTTCCGTTCCTTGCCCGGGGCGTGGAGATTCTGCATCTCATCGATTTCGCGCCTTTCAAGGGATTCCCTAAAGTCTGGCACACGATTGACGACGACGGTGAACATCTGGATATGGACACTGTCGAAGATTGGAGTATGCTTGTCACTGCTTTCGCTGCTGAGTGGATGGAGCTGGAAGGTTACTTCGACCACCCCAAAGCAGCCAGTGCACGCAGAGACGAAGAGCATGCTGCGTCGGAGGCTATACGTCTGAACAAGAAGACCGAGCTGTAAGCCATTCCGTTGCTCCATGATCGATCCCGTTTCCCGCTTTCCCGCTTATATACCCAATGCATTTCAATTGAGCGAACTGTTTGCATTTTGACCGATCCGATTTTGTACATATTCAATAACATTATTTACACTGCTGATCACGTTCGGACACAGGTCCTGAGTCGGATGTTCTCTTTGCCGAATCTTCTCGTACTCTATTGTCTCTATCGTCTATCCTCAAAGTCGAATCTTTCTAAAAGAGGTTTCCCAGCATGTACCCACCCATCGTGATCAATCCCCAGACCGGCTGCAGGGCTGTTCGCAGGAGCGCAGGGCCCGGGCAGACTCCTCTCAACCCCCAGGCGACACCAAACACCGCCGCACCGGCGATGAACTGCCAATCGATGTCACCAACTGTTGCCGTTGGAAGACGCCATGATTCCGCGAGTGTAGGATCCGGGCCTCGCTTTCCCTTCCCCAAAGACTGTCCCGGGCTCTTGTTGATAAAAGCGAACAGTGACGGGCCAATCCCAAACAAGATAATCAACGCCAGTGACGGATCAAAGCGGGATGGGTCTGTCAGGAATGCAAAGAAGCCAAGAACCTTGGCCGCGTCCGCCATCCCCGAGATCAGCAAACCCAGACCAAACTCTAGTCCAGCGACATAGGAAAAGATCACTCTGGATTTTTCAGACTTCGCAATCTTAGGGACCACGAGGTAGTTGGCCATCCCTGCCATCATCACTGCACCGCTCATGAATCCCAGCTCGGATGTCGACGGGTACACGGGTACATAGCAGGGTGTCCCACCACAGGACGGGATATTTGAGCCCCCATTGGCGAAATTCGCAGTTATCAATGCCGTCGTGAAGAAAACCGCTGTTGCAATGAACGATCGAGGCGACAGACGCGAGATCCCGCACAACATATGCCCCGATGTACATCCTCGACCATTCTGCAGTCCATATTAGTCCATGCTCTGCATCTCGACCCTTTCTGTGTCACTTACCTTTGTCCCCCAGCCAAGCAGAAACCCAACCCCCAATGTTGCAGCAACGGCAACCAGTGAATCTGGTTGTGCCGGATATGTCGGGATCAATGATGGTACAAACAAGTAGACCGGGACCAGGGCGGACATCAAGCCCGCGATTATGGGCACATTGTCACGACTTGGATTGAAGACGGACCCGGAAAGCAGAGATGAAATGCCGAATACGGCGCCGTTGTGAAATAGCAGACCGGATGAGCCTTGGAATAGTAACAGAGCACCCAATGAGGTGTGAATTGGGGTAAACATGTCGATCCTTTTAAGGTTTTTTCGTTGATGTCATTCGAGCAAAGTGCAAGACACGGGAGTACAGATTGAAGTGTCCTGAGGATGAAGATGTATAAGATACAAAGTCCAAAGGAAAAAAGGGAGTTACAATAGGGTTTGCACATTCCGGTTCGGGGACCATTGACGTCGCCGTTCAGGTCCCCGGGACTTCATTTCCCGTCTTTTGCACATTTCCGTTTCACGATGTATCACTTATGCTTGAACTGCCTATTTTGGTGTCTGCTTCTGATCAATTCAATCTGCTGGGCTTCTGACATGACACTTTGATGGCCATTTTCGGTGGAAAACAGCTGAAATGGAGGAAAGGGCCTGTCGCAATTTCCATTGGCGAAACAACTCATGTGGAATGAACGACCTACGTCTCAAGCTTGTTCAAGCAGTGACGACCGTGCCTGCAAAATGACTTGTCCCAATTGCCTTCAGGCCTCGACTTCCAGATCTTCTCACCTCCCATCGGCTCGTTGACAATATTGCTGGACTCGCCATGGGGAATTCACAAAGCATCGCAGGCCGCTCCTGCTTCCTGTCCGCTCTCGGGAACAACACGGATCTCGTTACTTTCCGTGGTGACATCCTGTATGAAATGCGCGGTTTGCCATCATACAACCTAGCCATACCAGTCCGACCAGCGGTGATCACCTATCCGAAAACCACATCCCAGGTCGCTGAGATCGTACGTTGTGCAGCCGAATCAGACTATAAGGTGCAGGCTTATAGTGGAGGGCACAGCTATGGAAATTATGGTATGTGCACACGCTGGGCCAGACGATCATCTGCTAATCAGATTGTCTTCCAGGCCTTGGGGGAGCCGATGGCCATGTCGTTGTTGACCTCAAGAACTTCCAGCACTTCGCCATGGACCCAGATACTCACGTGGCGACTATTGGTGCCGGTACAGACTTGGGAACCGTTCAGGATCGTCTCCTGCATGCAGGTGCGAGAGCAATGACCCATGGCGACTGTCCCCAAGTGGGCGCGGGTGGACACTTCACGATCGGCGGTCTTGGGATGATGGCTCGACAGTGGGGAACTTCTCTGGATCACGTTGTTGAGGCCGAGGTGGTCCTGGCCAACTCCAGCGTGGTGACTGCATCAGATACACAGAACCAGGATGTTTTCTTTGCTGTCAAGGGTGCCGCTGCAAGCTTTGGAATCGTGACTCAATTCAAAGTCCGCACTCACGCTATCCCCAAGGCTGCATTGCAGTACACGTACCTCTTCAGTCAGGGTGGCGTGATGGATAGGGTCCAACTTTTCCTCGACTGGCAGACCTTGATCTCCAAGCCGAATCTAACTCGGGATTTCTCCTCTCAGCTGACGATCTTTCAGGATGGGATTTTGATCATGAGCAGCTACTTCGGAACCGAGCAAGCATTCCAGCAATTTCAACGGGAGAACGATCTGCCCTTCCAGAGCATGGGCAATGTGGCCTACATCACCAACTGGCTGTCCCTAGTCGCCCACACCGCCGAGGACTATCTGCTTCAGATCTTCGGTGGCTTGTTCACATCCTTCTACGCGAAGTCAGTCTCCTTTCCCGCCGACCAGCTCTTCGACGTACACGGCCTGGTCGCTTTCTTCACGTACCTTGACTCTGCGCCCAAGGGTACACAGACATGGTTCATCATCTTTGATCTGGAAGGCGGCGCGGTCAACGATATTCCCATGAATGCCACGGCCTACGCACACCGCGATGCTCTCATGTGGATGCAATCCTATGTTGTCGTCGGGTACGATGACCCTCCCGGCTTCATTGCCAAGAGATTCCTCAATCGCTTGCATGACCTGGTCCTCGCCAATCGTCCGCCTGGTCCTGTTCGCTCTTATCCTGGATATGTTGATCCATTTATGAAAGATGGCCAGACGGCGTATTGGGGAACAAACCTGCCACGCCTTCAAGACATCAAGACGCGCGTTGATCCTAAGGATATGTTCCACAACCCGCAGAGTGTTCGGGTGAATCCTCCTAATTCCTCGGCTGTTCGGCGAGACCGGTGGTCGCTGTGAGTCTCGGATGGAGTATTGTTCCCACTTGAGCATTTCAAGTGGTCTAATGGCGCATCCAAAATCCCTGTATGTTGATTAATTTGTATTTTATTTACTTAACAGTGATTTCAATTCGATTCGACTCTTTGGATGCAACATTGAACGTTTTGGTGTTCGTAGACGTCGGGAGCCTGCAGAAACATATCCGTGATGCAACCAGAAAAGTTACCAACTGTTATCCTTCCACATGTCCACAAATTCTAACAACACCAAGCGAATATTTCAAAGTACTGGAAGGGCTTTGAAGCCTTGAACAATGTCTCCTTTCTTAGAAGGGAAACCTGAGCAACTCGCCGGACCTGTCGAGTCTCGGGTTGACACTGCTCGCTCAAGCACGTACTACGCCTGTGGCACACAGCCACCTCAAACCTGAGACCGTGATGGCTTTATAGATTGCGGCTCTGTGTAAGGGCCGGGCTGTGTACAGTCTACCCGTGGACGGTGCCCAGCATATGTTTGGTACGTGATGTCGCTGTGACGAAGATGAACCTCGGAAAAGACACTACATATCCACTGCGCGACTGCAGTTATACCAATAATTACCTGCAGATCCTCGTTCACCACGAACAAGTTTCTGAGCTTCGCCTAGACGCGACGGTAATCCCCGCTATTTTCACTCGACGATCGCATCGCACCAATGAGTATCCACAACCAGTCGAGGCAGGTCCTTTCCGGGTTTCGATCGACGCGATGTCAACATGAGCAGTCATCAACGAAAATCGAAAATCAGGGACGCAATGTACTCTCCATGCGACCTTGGCCTGAAATGTGATACAGCAACCGCCAGTGCAAACGCCCTCGAAAACGCCCTCGAAAACGCCCTCGAAAACGCCCTCGAAAACGCCCCACAAACAAGATAATCTAACAATATACCTTGAAAACCCTCCGAGGCCAATACGGCGCCATCCCGACATGAGTCAAAAAGAAGCATTTACCCCTGGACAGTGCTTACGCCAGAGACGGAGCAATGGGAACAGAAGACAATGAGAACACGCCATGGCTCCACGAGTCACGGAACTAGACCCGTTGCATATATTTGACCCACATTGTCCGAGCGCCACGAGCTTCGTCTCTCGGACTCCGGGAGCTTGAGAACTTGATAAAGAGCTGCGCGTTACGCGGATGCTATCTGAGATCGGTGAGATGGGCTCGGTCCAGGCTGTGGATTGGCTTGAGACTTGAGACTTGAGACTTGATTGTCTCACGGAGAAATACTCCCGGGCTCGGAGATAGGATATGTACGGAGGTCCGAGATGCAGAATACTGACAATGGCGATCGTTTGTCCAGATTTGGATCCCGAGGATACGAGAGTGACTGGATGTGAGTCAGTATCTTGCAGATGATATGCGATACTCTACTCTATAATCCCAGTGAAGGGAAGCAAAGTGACTCATGAGGCTCGCGTTCTTTCCCCGCTCAATGTCACCTTACGCTAATTGGAGATTATGGGATCGGGGCAGTTTTGTTTCTTTTGTTTCTTTTTTTTCTTCTTCTGTTCTTTTTCTCTTCTCTTCATCCCATGAAGAATGAGCTATCTGGCAATTATAGGCCATTTGGCCTTGCCACTAGTGGCCCTGAGTAGCATTCCAGCCTGTCAAAGCATCATCCGCCGCAGAACTAAATACGAACCACTCAACTTAACCAAAGATGGATACCGAGACGCCGATGGCGAAGCGACCGAGGAATCCATCCGTGCATTCTCGGATAAATGGCAGAAAGCCGCTATTGCACTATTCACAACGACTGGATTACTGTCAACCCTCGCATTGGCTGTATTGATAACCCTGAACCTGAACCAATATGGAACAAAATTGATTTGGCTGCAATTCGGGGTGTGGGTAAGTATTCTCTTTTACAGCTATTGGAGTAACTCTTAATGTCAAAATCCAGTGCTTCCTCACTATTCAAGCAGTCGCTTTTTACATAGAGCCCCGACCGACCACCAGGTATTTCCTGGGCCACTTCGCTCTCTGGGGAAGTCTACTCGCCATCGCATACCCAGCTACCGAATTAAGTGTATTCCTCATATCCGGATGGAAGGCGCAACGCGGTATCTGGGCTGGGTTGCTGATTGCGCAGATAGGCAGCGCATTTCTGCGCGGTCTGTTTGCTGTACTACTTCCCCGTCGCCCAGATGTGTTTTTTAACGGCAAGCCTGTTGATCGCGAGCTCTCCACCTCGCTACTGGGTCGCTTTAGCTTTAGCTGGGCTGGGGGACTGCTGAACTATGCAGCTAAGAAGAAGACCATGGAGTTGGATGATATTCCCAAGCTTCCGGCTTCGAAGCGCGTGGGGGTCCTCCGAGAGAACCTGGAGGCCGTGAGAGGGAATCGCAAGTTATGGAGAGCGATCGCAAGAGCGCACCCAGGGGCATTGCTAGCCCAGACGATTCTGAGTTTCGTCATTTGCTTCTTGAACTTTGGACCTCAGCTGGCGCTGTTGAAGATTCTACAAGCGCTGGAGCTGCGAGATACCCCATTTTGGAACCCTGCTGCGGCCTATATCTGGGTCGTGGCACTGGGAGGACTCATGTTTTTGGCATCCAGTTCGGAGGCATGGTTGTTCTGGATTGCGTATTCCAAACTGGGAGTACCAATTTATGCGGAACTGTCTGCTGTGGTTTTTGCCAAGGCGATGCGCCGCAAAGATGTGAAGCAATCCAAGAAGTCTAAAGATGATTCGGATGAGACAAAACCATCTGACGATGATGAAGACGCTTTGAAAAAAAGCAGACAGAGCATCATCAACCATGCGGCTGTTGATGCGCGACGCATTTCAGACTTTGCTGCCTTCAACTATGTCATTCCGCAGGCGTCTTTCCGAATCATTATCGGAGCGGTCTTTTTAGTGCAAATTCTTGGCTGGCGCAGTGCTTTCGCCGGTCTCTCAGTTGCGGCACTTGTGACGCCACTAAATATCTATGCAGCGAAGAAATATTCTGGCGCACAAGATCGTCTGATGAAACATCGTGACCAGAAGCTGGCCATTGTGACAGAAGTGCTCCAAGGAATCAGACAGATCAAGTTCTCGGCATTGGAAGAGCAATGGCAGAATCGTGTTCGGGAGGTCCGAGAGACAGAGCTCAGAGCTCTGTGGGCATCATTCTTGGCTGATATCGGCCTGCTCGCAATCTGGATCCTCGGTCCAGTCGGTCTGTCTGCTGTCTCCTTGGCTACCTATGCCATCTTGAACGGTGGTCTGTCGCCCTCTGTCGCTTTCACGGCTATGGCGGTTTTCACTTCTCTGGAGGTGTCCCTTGCTGTTATCCCCGAGCTGATGTCCATGGGTCTGGAGGCCAAGGTTAGTGCGGATCGTATTCATGAGTTCCTCGATACACCTGAGAAGGTCGTGAACACTGCCCCCGCCGAATACATCGCCTTCGAAGATGCCTCGATTGCATGGCCTGCGGACGAAGAGGAGGCACAAGAATTAGAAGAGCGTTTCGTTCTTCGCGATATGAGCTTGAAATTCCCGACTAAGGGTCTTAGTGTGATCTCTGGCCGAACCGGCTCTGGAAAGAGTCTGCTCCTTTCTTCCATCCTCGGTGAATGCGATGTCCTCGGTGGTACCTTGAAGGTACCCGTTCCCCCTCCTATTGAGGAGCGCTTTGATCACCATGCTACAAAGGCCAATTGGATCATTGATTCAGCCATTGCCTACGTTGCGCAAATCCCCTGGATAGAAAATGCAACCATCAAAGCCAATATTCTGTTCGGGCTCCCGGATGACGAAGAACGCTATAAGAAGGTGCTCTTCGCTTGCGCGCTGGAGAAGGACTTCCAAATGCTTCCAGATGGAGATCAAACTGACATTGGTGCCAACGGCGTTAATCTGAGTGGTGGCCAACGTTGGCGTGTTTCCTTTGCCCGTGCATTATACTCACGGGCAGGCATACTCGTCATGGATGACATATTCAGCGCGTTGGATGCCCATACTGGTCGTCATGTCTTCGAGCACGCTCTCATTAGTGAGTTGGGTCAAGGTCGCACTCGGATTTTGGTCACCCATCACGTTGCCCTGTGTTTGCCTGGCACCGATTATTCCGTGTTGCTGGAGAATGGTCGAATCAAGTATGCCGGGACAATTGATGATTTGAAACAAGCCCATCATCTGGAATATATCCTGCGCGAAGAAGAGGACGAGGAAAATCATCATTCCGTGATCGAAGAAGAACACGAGCTGCTTAATGAGGAGGAAGAATCGGGTCTTCAAAAGGTCGTTTCGAATACCTCGCACCAAAGACCGAGTACGACTGTCAACACCCATACTGCCAATGGAAACGGACACATCAATGGGAATGGGAGTGCTGCACCCGCATCCACCCCGAAGAAGTTCGTCGAAGACGAGAAGCGCGAGACTGGCTCTGTGCGGCTCGCTGTCTATCTCGCCTTCATGAAGAAAGGTGGCTCAGCGATCTTCTGGCTGGCGACAGCCTTGGTCTTCCTGTCATTTGCTGGTCTCATGGTTGGCAGGGTAAGTACTTTCATGTCTATGTTCAATTGGGTCATTTGGATAAACACTTACTGACTTCTTGCAGGCCTGGTGGATCAATGTCTGGACAGGATCGACGTCTAATACCGAATATCATCATGATCAGTACCATGCTCTACTGCAACACACCATGCAACCAACCGGATCAGTTCGACAAGACGACGAACTTGCCAAGTACCTCAGCATTTACGTCGCTATCTCTTTCAGTGCCTGTATCCTCGGAACGCTGCGATACTATTTCACCTTGCGCGTGGCCATCCGAGCTTCGAGAAACCTGTTCAATGGGTTAATCTATAGTATCCTCCGCGCACCACTCCGATGGTTGGATACAGTCCCATTGGGCCGAATTCTAAACCGATTCACAGCCGACTTCCACTCCATTGATTCGCGAATTGGATACGATATTGGATTCCTTTTCGCTAGACTTCTCGACCTGGTGGCGGTCATGGTGGCAGGAATGCTGGTCGACTGGCTGGTCATCCTGTTCGGTCTACTCCTTCTAGCTGTATGTTTGAAGCTCGCAATCACTTATTTGGGCGGCGCGCGTCAAACGAAACGACTTGAAAGCACAGCGAAGAGCCCGGTGTTTGAACAATTCGGTTCGAGTCTTGCTGGTCTCATCACGATTCGTGCTTTCAGCAAGCCAGACACTTACATTAACATCATGTACGACAAAATCAACCACCACGCCCAAGCATGGTGGACGCTTTGGCTTTTCAACCGGTGGCTCGGCTTCCGGATGAACGTCGTTGGCGCAATCTTCTCAGCTGTCGCCGCTGGCCTTGTCGTCTACGTGCCGGGTATCACTGCTTCACTTGCAGGCTTTGCTCTCAGCTTCGCACTGCAATACAACAATGCCATCACGATGGCTCTGCGTCAGTACGCTAACCTGGAGTTGAATATGAATGCCACAGAACGTGTCATCGAATACTCCAACATCGAACTTGAGAACCAAGGAGGAGTAGATGCACCCGCTGCCTGGCCAACAGAAGGCCGTCTTGAAGTCCAGGATCTAGTCGTGGGCTATGCACCTGAACTCCCACCCGTACTGAAAGGCCTCAGTTTCACAGCCGAAAGCAACCAACGGGTCGGTGTCGTCGGACGCACAGGCGCAGGCAAATCATCCCTCACACTAGCACTGTTCCGATTCCTAGAAGCACGATCTGGTCAAATTTTCATTGACGGTCTGGACGTTGCAAAAATAAAGCTCCATGACCTCCGCAGTCGTCTGGCAATCATCCCCCAAGACCCAGTCTTGTTCTCTGGAACAGTGCGATCGAATCTCGACCCCTTCGACGAATACAGCGACACAGAGCTATACGATGCTCTTGCACGCGTGCATCTCATTTCCGAAGCCGACGACGATGAGCTAACACTTACTTCCCGAGCCGCCACACCCCGCGTCAGCGAAACAGGCGCGTCAACACCAGCGACTCCACAAAAGAGTAACGCGAACGCATTCACTTCTCTTTCCGCTACCATCTCAGAAGGAGGACTTAATCTCTCGCAGGGTCAGAGACAGCTACTTTGTCTTGCTCGAGCTATTGTTGCCCGGCCTAAGATCATGGTTCTGGATGAGGCGACTTCGGCTGTGGATATGGAGACTGATGCGCTCATTCAACAGTCTATTCGGGCGGAATTTGGTCGCAATGCCACTACCCTGTTGGTTATTGCGCATCGACTTAGTACTATTGCTGACTTTGATCGGATTCTTGTGATGGATGTTGGGCATGCTGCTGAGTTTGGGTCGCCGAGGGAGTTGATGGGGATTGAAGGGGGCATTTTCAAAAATTTGGTGGAGAATAGTGGTGAGAAGGATGTTTTGGAGAAGATGATCTTTGCGTGAAAAGTTGAAATTGGACTTTTGCTGGTTATATAGATCTTGAGAATGGACAGACATGTAATCGAATTAAGCTGTCTTTGTTTTTATTGTTTATATTCCAGTTTCGAATGAGGATTGGAGATCTTGGTCAAAATAGAAAATAAAGGAAATTCATTAGCTCAAAGAGAGCTCTATATACGTCGTAGATTGCTGATTGCAACGGCCGAAGAAGAGACGAAGGACGTGAGTCAAGTCCAACCTCCCATCTTCTACCGACCAGTGCTTGACTGGGACACCTTCAAGTTAAGAGTCAGAGATGCCTTCATCGCGTCCGTGTTGTAAACAAGGTTGGTATGCCGAACGCATATATCACAAACCCTACCCCCGAGTCGTACAGCCCTTAAGCTCCCCGAAGAAAGAGAGCCGCACGTCTCAGAGGGCAGCGATCGTCTCATATAAAACACACTAGGCTTTCATCATGTCTGGAATCAAAATTAGTAAAGATCAAAGGAGTGCAAGAACAGTATACTCACAAGTATAAAACTTGGAAGGATGAAGAAGAAAAAATGCGAAAACTGCGGTTTTTATTTCTGCGGCTGCTAGTCCGCTTTTGGGGCGGTGTGCATTCTGCTGGTTTTTGGGGTCATTCCATTCTTGTCACTCCTGCTTCTTGCTCTGTATTCTGAAATCATGTCAATTGCTGCGTCCCAGCTTCGTGCTTTGCGGCTGAGGTCCAGCTACATTGGGATTTCTCATATTCTGCGTCCTCGGGCTGTTGGGAAATGCAGCCCTGTGGCACCGCGGCACTTCAGTGCTCGAGCTTGTTTGCGACAAGAACCTAAGCTTCCTGCTTTTTTGGAGGCTTATAAGAAGGCTGGTATGTGAACGTCCTATAGTAGCAGCTCAATATCAGCTAGATTTTAATTGAAATTGTGTACTGACATCCTCACAGTGGCCTTCCCTCCCGCGACGCACGATTTCGAGACTTTCTTCGCCCAAGCAGAGCCAAACACCGAAGTCGTGCTACATGGATACCTAGGCTCCCGCATAGACCTATCGAAGAAACTATCATTCGTCCGACTTTCCGACCCAACCCTCCAGCACAATGTACAAATCGTCGCACTCGCGAAAAGCAATGGCTTCGAAACACTCAAGAGCATGAACGCCAACAGCCCAGTGGCTGTGCGCGGAACAGTACAAAAGAAGAAGACCAAGGGTTCAGAACCAGTCAGCTTGGAAGACACATGGGAACTTGCGCTGGAAGAGATCCATGCTCTCAACGAATTCCCGAAAGACATTATCATGACACCTGAAACTGTCTTCCCGCCCGAGCAGCGATACCTGCAACTTCGATCGGACCCAGAACTGCGCGAGGCATTGAGGTTCCGAGCGAAAGCGCATAACCTCTGTAAAGAAGAATTGGAAAAATCTCAGCCTCCTTTCGTGGAGATTGAGACTCCATTGCTTTTCAAGTCTACGCCTGAAGGGGCCCGTGAATTCATTGTTCCCACGCGGCGCGAAGGATTGGCGTATGCTCTACCGCAGAGTCCGCAGCAGTATAAGCAGATTCTTATGGCTAGCGGATTACCGCGGTATTATCAGTTTGCGAAGTGTTTCCGGGATGAGGATTTGAGAGCGGATCGACAGCCAGAATTCACTCAGGTATGGATATTCCTGCTGAGAAAAGGAACTGTACTAACTTTGCTTTAGCTTGATTTGGAAATGTCTTTCGCAACTGGCGACGATGTAATGCGCACTGTTGAGGGCGTGATCCGTCGACTTTGGTCAGAGTTGATGAAGGATCCTGCGCCGGCTGGCCCATTCCGCAAGGTCTCGTACCAGGAGGTCATGGCCAAATATGGCTCCGATAAGCCGGATACCAGGTACGGGATGGAAATCATCCGCCTAGACCATGCTCTCCCAGTGGACTTGGTTGGTAAGATTTCTGATCTAGAGAATCCCATCGTGGAGGCTTTCAAGATTGAAGGAAATGACAATGATCCCGCTGAAACCCACCGATTCATCACTGAATTCCTGGATTCGCCAGCCGGTGCTCCATTCAACAACAACCCCGACGGTGGACCCGGCGTCTTCGTCTACAACGGCAAACAGCCTCTTTGTGGACTCCAGCCATTCGGCTTCGAAGCCGCTGAGCAAGCCGAGGAACTCCTTGATCTTGATCACGGCGATCTGATCATTGTCCAAGCCCGCCCTCGAGCCCCCTTCTCTGGAGGTTCCACTCCAATTGGCGATCTCCGCCGCGCCCTATACGCCGCATCCGTCTCATCGGGCTTCAAGCCCGCCGCGACAGGCTTTGATTTCCTCTGGGTAGTAGACTTCCCTCTTTTCTCTCCATCCTCAGACTCCGAACCAGGCCAGGGTGGCGCAGCTGGCTTCTCCTCCACCCACCACCCCTTCACAGCACCCAAGACCCCCGCCGACGTCGACCTCCTCCTCACAGACCCCACCAAAGTCATCGCAGACCACTACGATCTCGTCGTGAACGGCGTCGAGCTCGGCGGTGGTAGTCGTCGTATCCACAATGCCGCAGTGCAAGAATTCATCTTCCGTGACATTCTGCAAATGCCAGCTGAGCGACTAACGGATTTCTCTCACCTGCTGGATGCCCTGCGCTCGGGCTGTCCACCACATGCAGGTCTTGCATTGGGCTTTGATAGACTCGTGGCTGTCATGCTGGGCAAAGAATCCGTTCGTGATGTGATTGCTTTCCCCAAGACTGGCAAGGGCGGTGACGACCTTATGGTTGGATCCCCTAGTCAAATGACTGAACAGGCTTTGGAGACATATCACCTGAAACTCAGGAAATAAGCGGTTTCCGCTGATGTATAGCTATCTATGCCGGATTCCAGACCGGCCGCGACTTTGATTAATTAGCCTCCACTCCAGGTGCCCTGACGGGGTGCAATGTACATTACACAGGGATGTATTTCATATGTCAGATCATCCAGAACATACATCATTTTTTTCGCTCACGACATTCCCTCTAAGATTAGATGGCTTTGGTATATCCGTCACAACACACTGACCCGGTGCCTGAATTGCAAGGCCACCACGGAATGCCAAGGTCGCCGATTTGGTGGGTCCCCGTTGTACTCGCCGACTTTCCAATGTCCAGTTGTCTCTTCTTGGTCGTTGGAATGGCTCAAGGGTTGCCGCACTCGGACTCAAGGCCATTGAACTGTTGGAACTGCGTTCGTGAGGTATCTCTTGTATAGCATTCGAGAACAATCTGCCTACCGCGGCTGCCAGTGATGAACCCTGATACGAACCCCCGTACCAGCTGCATGTCAATGTGCCATTGATTCAGATATGGAGAATTCCGTGGGAGTACCTGTGGCATGCCACGGGATTTCGATAACTTGTTGCATGATCAGCTCTCCCGCCAGGCGCGGTCTTGGTTCGTCGTACCAGCACTAATCTAGAGCCGGCTTCGACGGGGCCAAAGTGCGGGAAAACCGCAAACAGTTTCATATAACTACAGGATGCCGGCTGGAAATCTGCTCAATTTTGCTCGGACGATCAGATTATAGTGGAATTGCGGGCCCAGGAGTGGATGCTACAATGTCCGAGACCTTGCATGCCGCAAATCTCGATCTCAGGCGTGTCTGGCATTTGTTCTGCTTGCAGACAGCAGGATGTTTTCCTGATCGGCCGTGGATATGGATGGGTATTTAGTCTCGGGCTGATCAGTTACCACTGGCACTCTGTTTGCCAGGGCCAAAATGTGCGTTTTCAACACCTTGATCACGCTGTCTATACTCGTTTCTCCAGCTATTAGCACAGATCTCAAAGATCTCACAGGCCGCCCCGGACATGGCTTGATTGGATATGGCATTTCTGTTTATGATCCAATTTGTGCGACTACCTGCGCTGAGGTTGTCCCTACAACATTACAGTGCCGCAAGTCCGACGAAGATGGTTCTTACCTCTCTACCCCAAGCCCTGAATGTCTTGCCAGTAATGAGCCTTTCCTCACGTCAATGGCATGGTGTATCCATGTTCACTGTGGCAGTGAAGTTGATGTTTCCAAAATTGAGTCTTGGTGGCGATTGAACATCCCTGGAAGACAGGTAGATCAACCACTGCCTAGGTTGACTTATCAGCATGCACTGTCACTGATAAAGGAACCACCAACAGAGATCCTCGAAAAGGGGGCTTTGCTCAATAGGACAGTTAGAGTGTCCAACGAGTCTTATAGCGCTCATCAGCATCAGCAAATAGTCTACGAGAACGTCCAGACAAACAGTTCAAAATATGGGTATGGTCTCCATGAGGCAAAGAGTTTCCAATCCCTCTGACCCTCTTCCTAGCCTGATAATCTTCATCACCGGCTGCGTCGCACCAGTCTTCATCTCATTGATACGTTTTTTACCGCTCCCATCGCAGTTCTTCATTGCATTGAACGCCCATCTCATCGACCCTCCACTTGCTGGAAAACACCATGCAGTGCCCGTCCTCAGCGCAGGCATCGTCCCAACCAGGGGCCAAGCTCTTTTCATTGCGTACATTGTGATTGCCAACATCATTCTCAGCTCAGTTGGATACCAGGTCTCTAGGCCCGGAACAATGCATCCGAACCTGTCATACCAGCTTGCTGCATGGGTCTCGAATCGCCTGGGCGTTCTGAGCTTTGCAAACCTGCCACTTTTGATACTCTACTCTGGAAGAAACAACATCTTGCTATGGATGACAGATTGGTCAAGATCAACATTCCTGCTGATCCATCGTTGGATTGCTTTCATCTGCACTTTGCAAGCCTGTCTTCACTCTCTCATCTACCTGGCGCTCGTGATCTGGGAAAAAGACCATGAGATCAAGTCACATTTGGCATTTTGGTATTGGGGCATTATTGCAACCTTGGCATTCTCGCTCATCTTTCCATTCTCGATTCTCCCACTCCGTCGAGTGGCGTATGAACTATTTTTGATTTTACACATCGCTTTTGCTATCCTTGCTATGGTTGGCTCATGGTACCATATCAAGTATCGCTATGATAAACAGTGGGGATTTGAGACTTGGCTCTACATGGCAATGGCAATATGGGGCTTCGACAGGCTCATGAGATTAGCGAGAATTGCCAGATTTGGCCCGAAAAGAGCGTTTGTGACCGAAGTCGATGATCGCTACCTGAGAATCGAGATACCGAATGTCACTTGTCGTGGACATGCATATTTTTGTTTCCCGACTTTAACCTGGCGCTTTTGGGACAGTCATCCCTTCTCAATCATTCCGAAAACCGACTTTCATGAGTCTGACTTGACTGTTCAGCCCAAAAACGGCAGCAATTCTGTCTCGGAGGCACTTCGGGCTGACACACAGCCAAAGGCGCTATTTTCCACGCCACCTATCTCTTTCGCGTCCGAGTCACGCGGGATCGTGCTTTATGTTGGAAGACACACAGGCATGACTTCACTCCTCGCCTCCAGGGCGGGGTCAATTCCTGGACTACCAGTTTTCATCGAGTCAGCCCCTAGCAATCCCCTTGGAACTGCAGGCCATTATCAACCAACGGCAGAGTATCCAAACACCATCTGCATCGTGGGAGGTGTTGGGATTACAGCCTTTCTGCCGTTCCTGTTGAGCCAGTCGAGTATTCAAACAATGGGCGCTAGAACCAAACTCTACTGGGGATCACGAAGTCAAGCCCTGGTTGACTCTGTTCGAAGTGAGGTAGGTCTCCAGTGGAGTCACATTGATCAAGAAGTGTCTGTTGGTCAGAGATTCGATATCAAGAGAGTCTTGTCGGATGAGCTGCTTCAATCTGGAAGTACCGGCACAACTGTTATGGTGTGTGGGCCTCCGTCTATGTCTGATGATGTCCGGTTTCATGTTGCAGCCTTTGGTCGTCATGGTGCGAAAGTTAGATTGGCTGATGAAAGTTTTGGTTGGTGATCATTCACTGTGTGCTTCTCATGCTTCCCTCGAATTCGAGTCCAATTCGGACTCCGTGGTAATAGGATGACTTGACTTGCGTAAAGGCCATGCCCTTCGATTTGAGAGATCATCTCCGGTACATGGCAGAAACTTCTGACAAAATTCCAGGGTTACGATCAATCATTTCCAGTCTACAGTCAACCACACGTGATTCAAACAGCCACTTCACTGCTATCCCTTCTCTCTTGTAAATAGATTTATCTTCAGTGTTCCCAGGTTCATCTGAATTCCTTTGCTAGAAGCAATAATACACTTTCTACTGGATTTCTTAGATTTCCAATTACTAACATTGTTTCCAATATTTTACCATGAATAAACGAGGATACGATCCATATCATTCTAGATTTAATTGGATTATCTACCAATGTACTGCTTGAAGTCATCTCATGATACAACAAAGGGAAGCTAGCGGTCAACTCCTGTTCCAAAACAGCCATCCTTCCCGGTCAACCTGCCCTCCTATCCCAACCAGCTCCTCTATAGACCGAGCATCGACAGCGTTCTCGAACACGTCAAAATCAACCTCCTCAAGCTCCCCATGGGAGCCGTTTCTGAACAAGGCAGGCAAAAGCACTCCAACCCCAGCGGCACCCAAGACCATCTCATGCTTCTCGAATCCCTCCATCACCAAAGCCTGGTCGAGTACCTCTTCATCAACCTTTTTGATGTCTGGGCGAGTCAGTATGATGGCACATCCACCGCCACCGGCACCAGTAAGCTTTGCCCAGCCAACATTTGTAATCGCTGCGAGCTTGCAGACGCGGTCGAAGAGGGGGTGCGAGGCGCCGAGCCTAACAAGGAGCTTCTGGTTGTCGCAGAATAGACGCCCCAGAGTCTTCACAGTATCCTGTCTGTTATGATGGTGGTCTGGATAAGAGCTGGAGAAGATCTGCAACGCCTTCTCGGTGAGCTGGCCGATGTGATCCAAGGTCTGCTCAAACAGCTCAGGCTGTTCGCTTTTTAGCCTACGAACTTTCTCAACCTGGTCAGCCGTTGTACGTGGCTGTTTGGTATTGACAAGAAGAAGGCGTAGACTCGGGAAGTGATCAATCGAGGTAACGACTGATGGCTTATCCTCAACTTTACCGTCCACCACGTTCTTGCGGAAGAGCACAGCTTTGCCCTGGCATGAGACAGTGTTGTCCACTCCGCTCGGGTCTCCGTGAATGCAGAGCTCTCCGGCGTATGCCCAGCTGTTAATGCGCTCCAATTGTTGTTCGGCTTCTCTGATTGTTTGGTCTGGATGTGGCCATGAGATGGCCCGTGTTTGAATGAGTAGCGCCGTGCTCAAGCAGACACTAACACTCGCACTACTACCCAGGCCAGCTCCAACTGGAATAGTCGATCGAAGCGTGTACACGAATCCGTGGCATTCTGGAGAACCGAGGGATAGGAAGAGGTACAAAAAGGCAGAGGCAGAATCTGTATGGATCTTGCGCTCCTTTTCAGGAAGATTTGGGGAGACGAGGTCCACATGTGGTTCAATGGCGGCTAGTAGGGTCTTGTCCAGAGAGTCGATGTGTGAATGATACAGCTTTCTGTCGGGCACCTGCTGGAAAGCCTCCCAGGGCAAGCTGGCGATGTCCCATGTGTGGTGCATTTTGATGTCTTTGAAATTGAGACTGACGGTTTGCTCGGACTTGGAAAGGGTCTTGGCGCTAAGGTAGGATCGGAGGGAGATGGCAGCCGCGATGACTGGCTTTCCATACACGGCAGCATGTTCACCCAGGACGATAACGTTGCCTGGTGCTGAAACCATGAACGAGGACGCCATTGACGAATATGGCTTCTCCATGACGAGAAAAGGGGAATGGCGTTAGGGTGAATGGGGTGACGAATGGAAGCAGGTGGCCGTAATCACGGAAGCCTGCTTAATCCTTGATAGATCAGGCGACCTAAGCCTTTCCCGTCAGTCACCCCTGTTACTTACTGGAGCCCAAACACTGACCAAGTCGAGGTTCAAATTGATCTCGAACTGTTTTTCACAGGCTAAATGAATGGAGATGTGAGTCGAGAATCGCTTCAAAACTGCTCTGTCGTATCTAACCAAATGAATTATTGCTCACTTTTTCGGGCAAGTCTTCTGACAAGTTCAGAAAAGAATGCATAATTGCAAAGATAAATTCGTTTCAATTTCAGAGACTCTATTGAAAAGTTCGCTTTCACTTATATGCGGTTCTATAGTTGTGCCCTCATCACGTGGTCGGGTTTGAGCGAACTTGCCCTCAGATGTTCTTTCTTCCTCAACTTTCACCACACCACCACGATGGATGTCCCTGATACAGGTTCGAATATAGCTGCATCTGTGGCCTGTCTTAATTGTCGAGACAAACACCTCAAATGCGATGGCAACCCAGAGGGCTGTCGTCGATGTCGCACTTTATCACTCTTTTGCCACTTCGTTCCATCTCGTCGCGGGCGCCGAGGACAGCCCAGTGAATATTCCCTCGAGATGTGCTGTGCCCCGATTATGGATGATGCTGCTCTTTCGGTAGAAGATTCACTCCCTCTTGTGGCTTCCAACGACCTTTCTCCACCCTTGCTGCCAGAGCCCAAAGAATTCCCACATATGAGGATTCACCTGGTCAAGGTCTTTTACGAATATTTCCACGCTGCACACCCTGTGCTGCCTCCATTAAATACCTGGGCTATGTTATCACCTCCCCAGTATCTGGTGAATGTCATCGAATTCATTGGTTCGCACTACCTTTCACCGGGCCAAGTTCCCGAATTCACGACTGAGCTGTGGACGGCTATCGACACCGCAGAACTTGGCTTAGAAAAGGCACAAGCCTACCTTCTTCTAAGCATTGCTCTGCATGGTCGCCAAGCACCTGAGGGTGCAAAGCAATGCATCGGTCTTGCTATTCAATGTAGCTTGATGCTAGGACTCCACTGTCGGGAGCTTTCCGATACTGTGGGGGTACAGAACCCAGTCCGTGCGGAGAGCATGAGGCGAACCTTATGGGAGATCTATGTCGTGGACACTGTCCTGGCTGCGGTGCAAATTGGGGGCACTTTACAATTCAACATGGAGACACCCGATGTCTCTCTTCCCTCTGAGGATACGATCTTCGAAGAAGGTCACCCCGGCGGCTCTTCAATTTCTGCCCAAAACCTTAGCCAACGCGCCTTTTCCGACGAAACTAACATGTCATCTCTTGCTTATCGTGTGGAGGCGACGATTATTCTCCGGCAGTGCGTAAACGCCTGTGAAACATTCGCCAGTGAAGAAACCATCGACATGCTTGATTCTATGATCTCGGCCTGGTTTCATAGGTGGCCTAGCGATAAAAGCACCATCCTCCAGTTTAACGGAAAAGTGCACCAGATCGACTTCCAATCTGCGATGTTGATGCAATGCGCCGCCATATACCTCCATTTCCCCAAGTCTTTCTTGATGTCATATCTCCCGGATACTCGCGGGATTTTCTGTTCAAGGCCTCCGCCAATGGGTTCCCATACTACCAATCCACAACTACACACGGCCAAGGTTATAAATGCTGCAATCGAGCTTTCTAAACTTGCCTCCCTTTCTACAAGTGTGACCAGCCACTCGCCATTCTTTGCATGTACACTGGTTCTGAGCTCAATTGTGCAGGTTACTGTTCGATCAGCGCGCATCGAACAACCCATCGGCATGCATTGCTCGTACCTAGCACTGAACATTGGAGTTCTCAACTCTATGGCTAGAGTATGGGGTATCGCTGCCTCTTCCCAGGAAAAAATACGGACTGTCGTCCGCGAGGTTGAAACGGCCTCCACGGAAGCAAACCAAGGCCTAGTCGGGAATCTGTCAACGCCATCGGTACTGCCAATATGAATCCTCATATGTCGCTGAAGCTGCAAATTCATTATTTACGTCACTCAATAACAAACTTGAATTTTTCTTTTCTTTCACTTGAATCTAAAAATTGATCTTGACACATAGAAAGCCGACTCAATGCAAGGGGTCCATCCGAGGACTTGCAAAGACTGGAAACGAACTCTCAATCGAGGTGGAACAGGAGACCCACTAGTCGGCGAACTTGGCGATCCACTGCCCCACACGCCACAGCAAGACTCTCCACAGCTAGTGGGTCTTTGTACCAATGCGGACAGGAATCCGCTACCGCGGTGTCCAATTAGGTGAGGTGGATCTAGATACTCCGAGTTCCCCGACCAATGAACCATGCTCAGCCATCTGCGACCCTGGAAGACATAACGTTAATTTCCTGCGAACTTGGGTTTGGAGCAAATAAACTATGGCTGCAAGGAGAGCCGGATGCATATGGATCTTTGAACATTGAACTCAAGTGTTCGTTTCGTTGAACTTTGAAATTCTATGTCATAACCATGGAAATCAACACAGTTCATGGATTCGGGAACATTTCCATTCTAACGCTGTAGAAATCTATAAATATGAATAGCAACTGTAAAACAGACTGATAGAAACAATGTTACTGGAGTAGGAAGCGTGAACAGCATTCAAGTCCAGAACTCTAGAAAAGTCCTGGCTGATAAAACAGCCGAATATCTGGATACCAACCAATCCTGAGTTTGATCGCCACGACGATCTGTTTCATCTCCAGCATATCCCTGCTCAAACCCATGACTCCAGACTGTATCCGTTCTTGTAAGCGAAGACATCCTGAGGTCCCTCAACCCCAATCTCATAACCATATACACAATGGTCAAATGAGACCTTCGGCTGTGAATGATAGAACCGGTTATACTTCTCGTCCAATGCATCCTTGAGGGTTGAGACCGAGCCATCTGGGTGTAGCGTTCCCCAAGGCTTGACACATTCCGAACCATGGCATGACTTCAACACCATGAGAAGTGCATCTAGTCTGGGAATGACCTCGGACATGGGGTACCCGAGAACTTCAACGTCTCGAAGGTCTTTCTTCCACAGATTGTTGACCTGGTAAGGATCCGTCTTTGGAAATTTGTCAGTCCGATTTCCAGATGCTCTTTCAAAGATCACTTACAGTCATATCGTAGAGCTCATGCTCATTGTTGCACCACACAGAGTAGAACAAATTGTAATCATCAGCAAGCACACGGACAGCCTTGTAAGTGTTGTTCGGCACGGTGGGAACGCCTGGAAAAATCAGCATCACTAGTTCAAGCCTGTGTAGTCCAAAGAAGACGGAACAGAGACATACCAAGGTTCGACAATCCACCCTCCAGCATTCCACGTCCCCAATACTCGACCGTAACATGCTCATGAGCGCCCTCAATCGGCTCGGAGATTGGTATAGGTGTACCATCAAAGTCCGATCTCAGGGGGAGACCAGCAAGTTCGAACAGAGTTGGCGCAATATCAATGTGTGTGGTGATAGTGTCATCGACGTGGTTCTCTGGAATTCCCGGTCCACGGATCATGAAGGGAACCCTGATGTCTTCTTCAAAGCCGCAGGTCTTTCCAGGTGGTAGTCTGTGCTGGGAGATATGGAAACCATTGTCCGAGGTGTAGATGATGTAGGTGTTGTTGATCTTTCCGGATTCTTCAAGGCGTGTAATGAGGTTATCAACTAGCTCGTCGACGCCTTGGAGGGCTCGAAGGCGCTGGCGATAGTAGTGATCATTGTAGTCGATTACAGACTGATTGCGATGGGGAAGATCATGGATCCAACTCACGCCACTCGGCTGCGGATGTGGTTAGTCAGTTGAAAAATCTAGGAATCGCTGTGAAACAAATGAGTTGCACTCACCTCCTTAGGGTTGAAGTTTGCTGTCCGCGGAACCTTGGCATCTGGGAAAAGATGTTTATGGCGCTCTTCGGGGATGGGCTCATCCATCCACAGAGGTCCGGCACCACCTCCGTAAGTTCCGTTCATGTTTGAGTGAGGCGCGATAGGCGTGACAGTCAGGAAAAAGGGACGTTCTCCTGCTATGGCATCATTCAAAAAGCCCATCGATTTCTCACGCAAAACCTCGGTGGTATGACGACCAAGGTAACTGACAGGTTCATCATGGTTGCGTTGATAAGTCGCATTCATGTAGTCATAGGTATAGGGATCCAAGACAAAGTCAGAGCCGTTGAAACCCGCGGCGTGTGGATGGTTGTAGTACTCCAATGAGTGCGAGTTCATCAGTTTACCAGTGTAGTAGGTGTCATATCCTCCTTGTTGCATCCAGACTGGTAGATAGTTGTCATTGAAGCCTTGGTCAATGAACTTTGGATATCCGCCTTGATGAGAGATTAATAAAAGAGATGCTGATGAGATGACAGGATAACTTACCCCACGGTGGTAGCACATCTGTGACATTGGTGTTGTGCGCCAGACGACCAGTGAGTAAGCTGACGCGAGATGGACAACATAGAGCTGTTGTAACAAAGTGGTTGGAAAAGGTGGTTCCCTTCTTGGCCATGTGCTTCATGGTCAATGGGGTGTAGTCCAGGGAGTTCAGCTTGAGATCCTGATCATCTGTCATGATGAACAGGAAGTTGGGCTTCGTGCTCGAATCGACATGGTTTGATTCAACCACACTCGTGGCTTCAATAGAATCTTCTGCTGCCGAAGTGGCCAGCAACAGCCCAAAGCTGACAAGATGTTCGAATCTCATAGTCGTGTTTCCCCAGGATGCTTTTGAAACCGATTGCTTTACAGAGAACAATGTCGTCTGTCAGGCTACTTATACGTTCTCTGCTCGCTTTCTCTTGCCCATCGCGGCCAAAGGATTGGACGATGGAAATGTGGATCGATGGTGAGCCGTTTACACTTGATTGCCGTGTTCTGGCTTGAGATACTCGTAGTGACTTTTTCGCCCCCAAGAGGATTCCACAGCTAACAACCAAGTGTACCAACTTTCCGGTTGTTGGAAATTATGATTATTCATCGCCCCGGACTCTTTCTGGAAGTCGGTCCCTGAAGATTGTCTATCCCCCAGGTGTCTTAGTATATCCAGTGGGGCTCTGGGTCCTCGTATTCACCAAGGGCCCACAGCTTCGGCGAGGTTACCTTCCTGGATGTTTTAGAATTTTTTACTTTCGTGTGTGTTTTTGCTAATGTCTTGCCTGTGGCCATGTAGACCACGTTGTTTTCAAATTCGCCGAATATTTTCATGTCCAAAGCAGGTAAGTGTGATATAGAAGTCCCGCAGACGAGTGCGAGCACCCCTAGATAGCCACCCCTGCATTTTCACTCTTGTGCCTAGTCCTCCCGTCGACTGGTCAGTAGTAAATGGGAGCCGGTGACCAAAGAGAATCAAATGAAAAAGAGAAAGGGAAAAAAAAACGCCCGATCCTGGATTCGAACCAGGGGTCTCTGGAGGACGCGCCAACACCTTCGGGGCACTCGCTTATGGGTGCACACGCCCGGGTTGGTACATCCCCGCAGTGCCTTAAACCACTCGGCCAACCAGGCTTTTTATATTTATTACAAGTGGATCTTGTCACATCTCCACCTCAATGGGCACAACCATTGGACAGCCTGCACTCTTGGCAGAAGCTCGATGTGGGCCAGACTCAGAGATGGCCAATCCAAAGGGTTTTACGATACAAAGTGGTCCTGAATTTATGGACCAATACCTGGTATTACACCTGGTGGCAGTGAAGCTATTCAGATCACCAGAAATCGTGACTCCGGCAGAACCTCGGCGATGGGGATATTTCTAGACGGATCTTGAGACTTAATGACTTGAAAAATTGAATGACATTGCCCACTGTGGTATCAATATTTTCGGTTTTTTTTTGGCGAAGCCAAACCCACACAGTTCCAGGCACCTTCCGACATCCAAAAGAGTTTCCATCCCAGCGCGCTAAACAAGTACGCTAGACTATGTCCAGCTTCAACTCCTGCTGGATATGATTCACACTCGTACCGACAAAGAGAGTGTAAGTTCCGGCATCAAGGCGCCACGATGCAGCCTCCGCATCGTACCACTTGAAGTCTTCACTTCGGATAGGTATGCTTGCATCCCTACACTCACCAGAATGTACTTGTACTTTCGTGAAGCCGACCAGTGTCTTCTGGAAGCTCTGAAGACCATTCTCACGGATAGCGACAGAAGGTGAAGCATATACCTGGATGACTTCGTGTCCACTGCACGAACCAGTGTTTTTAATGGTGACATGAACATTGACCTCCGATGAAGAGGAGCTCAATGGACCCTCGACATGGATATTGGACAACTCAAACGTGGTATAAGACAATCCAAACCCGAAGGGCCACAATGGCTCAATCTTGCGTTCATCGAACGACCGATATCCCATCAGAACCCCTTCACCGAAAACGGCACGGTCCTTGGCTGCTTCAGCGGGGAACCATTCATCGGAGCCATGATCGGCCAATTTCTTTGGGAAGGTAATGGGAGTCTTCCCAGAAAAGTTGCAATGACCCAGTAAGGCGTTGGCCAAGGCATGTCCGTTCTCCTGGCCTTGATACCAGCCCAACACAATAGCACTGGCTTTGTCGGCCCAGGGCATTGCGGTCGCACTGGCTGCCTGAACAACAACGATCGTGTTGGGATTGGCGGCACATACCGCGGAGACAAGCTCGTTGGTACGTCCTGGCAATTCCATATCTGGGCGATCGCCACCCTCGCCTTCAGAGTCCTTGTTGTGACCAACAACGAGGATAGCAACGTCTGATTCGCGGGCAGACTGCACGGCACGCTCGAGCATCTCATCCTCATCTTCGTCGAGGCTAAGACCGAGGCGAAGACCAGATACCGCCGGGAAGAGGGTGTTGTCAAAGGATTCCACAAGTGGCAATGTGACAACATTGTCTACCTGCAAGGTATAGAAGCTTCCTGCTTCCAAGCGCAGTGACGCCGTCTTGTCTTCACTTGAACAGCCGAGGAAACCGCCAGTGATCGTTGTCCAGTCGGTGTTGTCAATGAACAGTCCACCATTTATAAATAGCTTGGCTTTTCCTGTGTTCGCAATACTGACAGTATGTTGACCAGATACCTTCGGAGCGATGACTCCAGTAGCTCTGTAACAGTATGGTTTGCGCTTGAGAGAAGGAGGCACATCCCCATCACTCATCATGTAAAGCATAGAGTTGGGCCAGAATGTGGTATCGATGACGGGGCCTTCAAACTCGTGACCTGCAAAGAATTCTACCTGAAGTCCTTGCTTCGAGCGATCAGGCACAAGAAGGGCACTGTCGAAGAAAGGTGGTCGCAAAGTGAAAGGTATTCCCTGGTCGTAGGACACCTCAACTCCAGGGTGAGATTGATGAATGGCTTCTGTCAGGCACTCCTCCGGTGTTGTGACGTAGAATGGGTTGACGGCAGCACTACCGGAGCCACCTGCCGTTGGCTTCCGCGCATTGGGTCCCAGGATAGCGACCTTGCTCAGCTTGGATGGCTGGAGTGGGAGAATGTTGTCATTCTTCAGCAAGACTAAGCCGCCCTCCGCGGCGTCTCGAACGGTTTTGTGGAATGCGCTGTCATCAGATGGTTGCTCTGGGGTTTTCTCTTCTTCCTGTGGCAGCTCCGCTTCTCCATTCAGCCATGCCAGAGAAGGAAGAAGCCCAGCCCGCTCAAGAAGCTGCAAAACGCGACGCACACTGGTGTCCAAATGCTTTGCTTCATCGACTTGTCCATCTCGGATAGCGGAAATCAATAACTCTCCTCGGCGAATAGCCGGTCCTGGCATTTCAAGATCTGTACCAGCAATGAGGCTCTCGGTAGTACTGTTGCAACCTCCCCAATCACTCATGACCAGTCTGTCGAACTGCAGCTCTTCACGAAGGAGCTTCTGAAGGACAAAAGAGCTCATATCGGCGTGCACGCCATTGACTTTTGGATAACTGACCATGGCAGTCCACGGAGCCGCTTCAAGAACCATAGAGAATGGCTTCATGTACACCTCCCTCAGTGTGCGTTCGTCAATAGTCTGATCGACATTGAAACGCCGGGTCTCGGTATCGTTGAGAATGAAATGCTTCATGCATGCTCCGACACCTTGATTCTGAATACCGCGGATGATCGCAGTGGAAATGGTGCCAATGAGGAAAGGGTCTTCTCCGTAACTTTCAAAGTTTCGGCCACCTAGTGGAGAGCGTGAGAAGTTCATTGTCGGGGCCAACAAGACGTGGCAGCCCTTGCGTCGGGTCTCCTCGCCGAGTACATTGCCGACTTTCTCAACGATCAATGGATCGAACGTGGCTGCAAGCGAGATCCCAGATGGAATGAAAGTAGTCAGGGAGCCATAGTTCCACTTCGTGCCGCGAGCTCCTGCAGGGCCATCGGTGGTTTGAAGAGGTTGAATACCCAGCCGTTCAACCCCTGAAGTCTGCCACATGTTCTGGCCAGCAACTAAAGAGACCTTCTCTTTAAGGGTAAGATCCCGAATGAGTCGCTCCACAAGGGGACTGACGGGCTCAGAAGTCACCATCTTGATCTGTGTGTGATGTCTCAACGAAGAATAGATTGGTGTTGGGATAAAGCGCATGAATCAAAACCTGGAGATACTAATCTTGTTATCCCATAATCAAATCCAAGTAGCCCACGACAACCACAGCAAGATGATTTGACTTCATCGCCGATTTCGCGTAGTTTGTGTTGGTTCGGGGGTGTATTCGGCGACATAGTGGAGACGGCATTCGGACCCGAATTCTCGGCGTGGTTCAAGCGCCACTCGCCGAAGCAGTGGGACCTGATTATATTCAATTGAATTGAACTTTGTTCCCTCCACAGTTGATTGTCGGGTGTTTTGTTCGCATTTGGACATTGCGTTTACCCCATCATTTCCAGTGTCGATGCCAGACTGGAGATACCCCGATATTTTCTCCAGATTCGGTCACCTCGTGGAGGACACATGCCGCATATGTGGGGCCCCGGTATAAAAGTCGGGGGAAAGAGTCGAACGGGCCTCAAATCGGCCACTCTATACGGAAATCAGCCTCGGTCGAAACTCTTTCCTCATTTGAATCTCACCAATATGGGGCTCCTGGGAATCTGACATGCAGTGGCGTTCGGCTAAAAGGTCTTAGATATAACTAGTGGAAGGATTTTGTTGTTAGTTCGAGAAAACAAGATGTCGGAGTTTAGTTGAAGTCAGACGGAACTTTGCTATGGTCCAATCAATGTGTTTTCTCGAGGGAATTGGCTTCGTTCCTGCTTTCCATTCCTCTGTAGCCCGGGGTCTTCAATCAGCCCCCATCGCTTCGTAACAGTGGATCACATCCCCGCGAGGAAGGAGATGAGCCAAGAACATCCACATATAGGAACTGCAGGTGTTAAAAAGGCCCCAATGTCATGGAAAGTCGAGGTCTTGAGTTCCAATCTCATCTCACCAAGTGATTCCACTCCCACCAACCTCCCCCCTGTCTTCCATCATGACCCAAACAGCAGCGGATGACTCAATCCGCAATTTGCCATGGCTTATCTGGGTCATGGTTATCTTTGGATCAATTTCGTCCGCTGGATTCGGATTTGACCAAGGATGGTGGTCAGCCGTGATGAGTTCATCTCAATTTGTCCAAAACTTCGGGGCTTTCGATCCGATAACCAAGCAATGGGCCCTCACCTCCCAGCAGCAGTCACTTGGAACTGGTCTCGGATACGTTGGTGTGATCATCGGAGTATTTGGTGGTTCACCGATCAACGAACGTTTTGGAAGAAAGAACTCTTTGTGGATTCAGAGTGCTGTCGTCACAATCGGAATCATCATTGAATCCACAGTTACGAGAAGCTACGCACAGTTCCTTGTTGGAAAGATCCTGGTGTACCTCGGTGGTGGAATCGCGACCAGTATCATTCCTGCCTATCAAGGAGAATGTGCTCCGAAATCCATGCGCGGTATGATGGCCGGCACATACAACGCTTTCCTTATGGTCGGTGGCTTCTTCGCCACACTGATCGTATATCTCTGTCAGCATATCCCTAGCAACTGGGCCTGGCGAGTGGTAGTCGTTGCTCAGATCGCCATCCCGGCAGCCAGTTGGGTCAGTCTGCCATTCTTGCCCGAGTCACCATACTGGCTTGTTTCTCGCGGGAGACTCGACGAGGCAGTCATTGCCCTTCGACAGCTCAGAGGCCCCTCTTACCCGGCAGAGGCTGAGGTCACCAACATGCAACAGCTGTTGGAGGAGCAGCGGGAAAGACAAGCTAGCGCAACATGGGCGGTCTGCTTCAGTGATTCGGTACATCGTCGACGCACGATTATTTCTGTTGGATCTCAGATCTTCTCTCAGGCCCAAGGCATCTCATTTGTTGCCAATTACCAGGCTGTTTTCCTTCAACAAATTGGATTCAAGGAGGTCCTCCTGATGGCAGTCATCGTTTATGTCATCGGTATGGCCGCCAACCTGATCTTCATGAGTACTACCGACCGTGTTGGCCGTCGGAACGTGCTGTTATACTCTTCTGCGATGCTAGGAGCCTGCATGATCACGATTGGTGGGTTGACCGCGAATGGGCCCGCGAGTATGTCATATGCAATGCAAGTTGCAGCGGTCGTAATGCTGATGTTGTGGTTTTTCTCTTTCCAACTCACTTGGGGACCCTTGGCTTGGGTGTTGACAGCCGAGGTACCTTCCACCCAAGTCAAAGAGAAAACGGTTTCACTTTCAGGAATGGGTGCTTACCTTACTGGTCTGGTCATTGTGTTTGTGAACCCTTTCACCCAAGATCAGATTGGTGGTCGTGTTGCGTTTATTTATGGTGCTCTTTCGGTGCTTTCCTGCGTTTTCACATGGGTTTTCGTGCCGGAGGTGAAACAGCGCTCTCTGGAACAGATTGATGAGATGTTCCTTGATAAGGTGCCAACACGGGCATTCAAATCCCACGTTTGTCAGATGCCTGGGGATATCACGATGGTCAAAAGAGAAGGAGAAGAGTTTGTGGAAAATGCTTAGTCTTTAAATCTTCTCGATGACTGAATTGGGTCAAACACGACTTTGTATTTAAATAAAAAGCCACTATTGAATGTCTGATGTCATTTGAAATCTCCGAGTGTAAGAACTGAATGCAAGGTATCCGTAGAGGTAGCAATTGCGACATCAGAGACAATATTTCCAGTAATCAGTTTCCTTCAGAATATCCCCATTTTCAACGGCCGAAAGCCGACAAAAACAAGAGGCCTCAATCTTGATATCCGCAGAAGCCAAAGCAATATCCATTTGAACTTTGACACTTCTGGCCTCATCGCATTTCTTAAGTCTGACCAGACATTCGTGAAGGCCATGGAGACCCCAGACATTATTCAGCCTCGCCTGGCGTCTGGGCAAGATGCCTCCAATGCCTAGATCCTCCCGGTATACCACTTCTGCCTCCTTAAAGCAACATTGCTCTAGAAGTAAGGCACCGTAAGCATGGCGAGTTGGCTGCATCCAAGGCGGTGGGTCCGCATATGGCAGTGCATCTTCCCTAACTGCAGCCAATCGTAGAGTTCGGAAGGAGGCGTCACCAGAAAATTGGCGATATTCAATTTCAGCCTGGAGCATAAGAGAGGCAACTTCAAGGACATCGGCCTCCACTACTGGCAAACTGTTGAGGCGCGTTCTTGGTACGAGAATCCTGGCATTTTCGAAGTCTTCCTGCTCCACCTTTGCTTCTTTAATTCGACGAAGGGCCGACAGCGCAATTCCACGACCATAGTATATCATTGCTGTGGTAGAACAGTACAGCTCGGTGTCTTCTGGGATGGGAAGTTCCAGAATCTCCTTCCACATTCCAAATCGTACCATAACATGAACCTTTGCGCCGAGATAGCTTTCTGTCCAATCTGCCATTGGGGGACTTTTTATCGCGAGGACTTCCGGGGTCAGGATTTCGGATAAGAGCGCCGCGGACGAAAGGGCTTCCTGGGAGCGCCCAGAAATCAAGGCACTGTAAAGCTTCACGTAGACGTTGTGTGCACGATACATGACATAAAGGACTGATCCATTCTCGCGGCAAAAGTACTTATTATCAGCCAGAATAGCCTGATGATTCGAGTCAACGGCTCGGCGATAATCACCACAAGCAATGTCGATGTGTGATGGCATGTGCTGTAAGTGGGATGCATCTCCAGCCAAGAATCGCAGCCGATCCGCCGCTGGTAAGGCAATCTCCGGGTAGGGTGACATCTCCATAAGGTGGATGTAGAGATGGTACAATGCCGGAAGGTTATCCGCGCCAGGGAACTTCATGGCCTTTTCAAGAATCTCCCGTGCCTTCTCGGTGTGAGGACCTTTTGGTTTCCCAGTACGTAGGCTCCAGAGAGCCCGCGGGGAAATGCACATCAGTGCCTCCGCACACAGTGCAGAAACATCCAGGTGGCTCGGGAATCTGTCGTAAACCGTGCACATCACTTGGGAGTATTCATGATCCAGCGTTTTAGCCGTATCTGGAGAATTCCCGAGCAAAAAGGCGTGGTGCGGCGGGAATCGGGATGCGAGAGCATGTATGAGAGCTGACTCTGGTGGGCTGGCTTGTGAGCTGAGCTCGATGGCCTTGGACAAAAATGGTTTCACGGCCGTAATGGTCTCCTCCACATCAAGATCGTCGAATCTAATCCAGGTCTTGTTGTAATTTGGTCCTTTGGCGTAGCAGAAACCCCAATATGCCATCGCGCAGCTTTCATCGAAGTCGATTGCCTTCTGAAAACAACGGGCCGCTTCTTCATGGTTGAATCCCTGGGCCCATCTGTACCCGCGATCAAACCAGGTCTGACAGTCTGCGGAGGATGTTGTCACGGGAAACTGATAGGATCCCAGGTCGTAGTATGATTCTGTCATGGTGAGGTCGGACTGCGATTGAAGATAGTTCCAGATGATGCGTGGGTTCGCGGAAGAGTACTTGACGAGAGCACGAGGGATGTAACAGGCAAATCACGTAGTGTGTTTGGTTGCTTGACGCGCAGGAGAGAAAAAAAAACAGGAGGAAGTGAGGCAAAGGGAGCTGGGTAGATCTAGAGCAAGCAAACAATCACCTGACCCTGGTGACCCAACAATACTCCCTTAAGTAGATGGATGTACCTGGAAGAAAGTCCTGCCTGTGAAGAATGGCTCACATCTGGAACATGAGCGTAGCCGAGTTTATGTAGGTTGCCTTCGAACTGTACGCAGTATCCTTTGGCGATATGATTTCCATGGTCCACAGCTTCGCCGACTAAATGCAAGGATGTACGTACCTTGTCTTGACATGCAGTTGCATGATGTTATGGTTCTGCTGTTTACCTGCAGCGCTGCAACCTCCCTTGCATAAAAAGCACGTTTAAGCCTGCAGTCGCCGATTTGCGGATCCAATATCGCCTGGCTGCTAATTGTAACATCATTTGATTTCGGCACAAATTGCCGCTGGTAATGTGATAGGGTAGTATTTACAGGAGAGAGTGATTCAGAACAGACAGGGCTTATAGAATCCCATGTTCCCTGTGTTCTGCTGTTGGAGTATACTCCTGCAGCACATTAACACTATGTACTGTATGTCATCTTCAGATAACCTCCGAACCTTGAAATCTGGTATCTTATGCAGGTCTTTGTGGAATTTAATTGGCTGTCTGTAATACAGCCCCATGTTAGGTGGCTGCCAAGAGCCTGGATGGCCCAATGGGCGCACAGAAGTGGATATGTAACAAGATCCACCTGTAATAAATATACAAAGCCTGGTTGGCCGAGTGGTTCAAGGCACTGCGGGGGTCGAAGCCAGCCCGGTTCTGAACCGTGTGCTGGCCTCCCCTCCGGGGACCCTGGTTCGAATCCAGGATCGGGCACTCTTTTTTTTTTCTTTTTTGTTTTTCTTCATATAACCTTTGTTCTTACTGGTTATCTAGCCCTCACTCACGGATTGTATAGCAGACTCCTTGGTTTCTAGTTACAAAGTCAACAGGTACTCGAGGAGAAAGCTAACGGATGAGGGAACCCCCAAAACTCCAGGCGCCTGGTCTTGACACCTGCTGCCCGATGATTAAGGCATAAACAGATCTCCACGGCTGATACTCCCACATTCAACCTTCCTTCGGATGTGGAGGCTTCGAGATGCCTATGACATTTGTATTCTTCCCTTTAAATTGCACAACTGGAAGAAATTGAGAGGGAACGGGGAGCCAAAATTGTGCGGAATGAGAACGCGGGGAACTCCAAAGCATACGGTGAGAATATATACATTGCAGCATCCACTGGAAAGAAATGACTTGCCTATGTAGATCAGGACCATATTCATTGATCTTTAAGCTTAGGTCCAGGGAAAGGCTCAAAGCACAAAGATATGCAATACTTCGTAAGACAAGAAGAGGAGCCATGGAGCTTCGGAGAGCTATTATAGCAAGCAACTATCTTAAGGAAGCAAGCCATCACACAAGAGGCCTAGCAGTAATTGTTTAATGAAGCAAAGGGTGAGGTCTTTGGACACTTCTTCCAAGGTCATCTAGTGTGGTGTTACCCTATTCGAAGCGCAAAGACAGTACAATGGCTCTTTTTAAATTGAAAGTGGCGGTCCCCGCATCCTTCACAGAGGAAGGGAATTGAGCTGAACTTGGATAAGCCTAAGATTGACCGACTGATTTAAAAGCAGAAATCAAAGAGGTGGACTGTCAGATCGCATCCCGCCTGACCCGTAACTTCATCTGCTTCTTTTCGGTGTCTGGTCTCGGCCTTTGATTCTAGGACGGCGAGGTAATCCATATGGTCGGCGAAGTCGGCATTAGATCTCAGAACCCAGCATTCAAGACATTTAAACCACGTATACTATATAAGTTCAAGGCACAAACACCAAAACTGCGTAGATTATCTTCAGCGGAACTCAACGAGCACCAAAATGCAACCAATCACTCTATACTCCCACGAGATCGGACCCAATCCCTGGAAAGTGGCCATTATCCTCGAGGCCCTGGGACTCGAATACAAGACCATTTTTATTAGCTTCGATGAAGTCAAACTCCCCCCTTTCACCGATGTGAACCCGAACGGCCGTCTCCCCGCCATCATCGACCCAAACAACAACATCACGCTGTGGGAATCCGGCGCCATCGTCCAATATCTCATCGACACCTACGATGTCTCTCACAAACTGAGCTATGATACCTTCCCCGAGAAGTACTACACACAGCAATGGTTACACTTCCAGATGTCCGGCCAAGGGCCCTACTATGGTCAGCTGTCCTGGTTCAAAAGACAGCCAACCCCCCAACCGGTTGCTACCGAGCGGTACGCCAATGAAATCAAACGCGTGTCTGGTGTTTTGGAGAAAGCTTTGGAAGGGCGGGACTGGCTGGTTGGGGACAAGTGCACCTATGCCGACTTATCTTTTGTGCCTTGGCAGGATCTGGTTCGCATGTTCTATGCGGAAGAGGTCGGAGATCTCGCGCGCGAGTTCCCCGGTGTTAATGCTTGGATGGGAAGAATGAAGGAAAGACCGGAGGTGCAGAAGGTTTTGCACGAGAAGAGCGAGGCTATGAAGAAGATGGCGCAGAAATAGGACCTGGCATGGTGTGAAAAGCTAATAGCTTCAGAAATTTGATCATCATTTTCAGCCTTAGCTCGGAGTTGGAAGACGGATTGGTAAACCACCAAGGAAGCAACTAGACCAACCAGTTCCTTGAGAAGCTCAAGTCTTCCAAGGTTCTGGGCGAGCCTAGAGTCAACAAGCTCCGTGTGATATCGCAGAGAAGTCCTCATACTCGTATTGATCGCCAAGATAAAAATCCACCTGAAACCACCAGCTCCACATGCGAAATCTGATGGCAGTTGTGGGATCATAGTATGTACTCGTATTCGGGTTACCCGGATCTAGATCAACGACGAAATTCAATAGATGGTCTCCCAAGTGGTCTATGGCATGATTTGACACCCTAGACCTTCATAAGAAATTCACATGACCAAACGAAAATCCTTCCGAACCAAAGTACTGATCCTGAACGATGCACCATCAGCCAGGAACTAGACCAGATTCAGACAAAAAGGGCCTATCGGCACCACACTGTGCTACTCGTATATCTGAGATCTCTCTCCTACATCAATTATCTCATGTTAATCACTTCAACCAGAGTCCCTCACAATCAGACACGAAGTAGGAAGTTGGTGCACTGTAGGGAAATTAGGGCTTCGGCCCAGAAGGCTGAATCTGATACACCAAGGGCGCAGGGTCCATGAAACAGAATGCAATGTATACCCAAGGATCCAAAGTGCCGACAGCAGGGACATTGGGTGTGCCTGGAGTTGCAGTGGAGAAAGGCGCACCGTAGCGCATCCCCATTTTGCGCCCCAACGGTTAAATTGCCCAATTTGGCGCAAACCCATTTTTGAGAACACTCCATCTTGCAGATTCATTTATCTTAAACCCTGTATTCCAAAGTCATAGTTTGTTTCAGGTTCTTTGGATATATCCGATTGTAATAAAGTGCTGTTTCTACAGTATAGTATATAGGTGATACGTCAGATTTGGCGTTTGAGATTGAAGCATAACGGCTGTACGGAGTATCCTCGGCCGACATGGACATTCTGGATTTCAAGTGCGAGTACAATCTCTGGAATTTAGATTAGCCGTGCGCTCAGTTTTTGGGTCAGGAACGGACGCGAAGATCATTTTTGAGTCCACTGATCCCGATCCCGGCCGTTTCCTTCGTACACACTGAACTATACGAGTCCCCAATAGAGAATCATGAAACAGGGTCCCCCGTTTCACTGCGCAAATTAATCTATAGGGCCGTAGACTGATCAAAATTTCATCATGATAATTGCCGTGCCTCGGTAGGATGCAAATTGATCATCGAAATGCCGAATGACCCAAATATAAGAGCACTCGTCCCCGTCGATGTAGAGACCATTGAGCCATTCCAACTCATTCCAACGCAGCCTTCCCATTCTTTCGTTCATATACATTAGAGCCGGTCTCTAACAGTCATTCTTTGTTTTTTCAATCATTTCATCCCGTTGAAATGAAGGCTGCTGTCGTCCTCGCCCTGGCCGGTGCTGCCCTGTCGGCCCCCACCCCCACCATCGAGAGCCGTGAGCTTCCCGGCAGTGGAACTGGTGGTCTCGATGCTCTGAAGTCCGTTATTCCCCAGCTGGGCCAAGGTGCCAGTGGACTCCCCAGCCTCCCTCACTTCAGTGGCTTCCCTCACCTCGACGGCCTTCCCGGCCTGCCCTCCGACCTCCCCAGCATCTCTGATCTCATCGAGAAAGATATCAAGGAGATCCAGGAGAAGGGTGCTTCTAAGACCGACAAGCGCCAGCTGCCCGGTCTGAGTGCTCTCGAGTCTCTCATTCCCAGCTCCAGCTCCGGCTCCGGCAGCGGTCTCAGCTCTCTCCTCTCCGGCCTAGGCGGCTCATCCGGCGGCGGTGGTCTCAGCGCTTTGGAGTCTCTGATTCCCAGCGCTGGCTCCTCCAGCGGAAGCAGCGGTCTCAGCGGCCTCAGCTCTCTCTTCCCCGGTCTGGGCGGATCCTCCGGCTCCTCCACCGGCGGCCTGAGTGCCCTGGAGTCTCTCATCCCCAGCGCCGGCTCTTCCGGCAGCGGTGGTCTTAGCTCCCTCCTCTCAGGCGGCGGCCTTGGTCGTCGCGAGGCTGAGGAAGTCGAGAAGCGTCAGCTCGGTATGTTCCATTCTCTTCCCAGTCGTTCGAAACGTCGATCAAAAACTAATTGTTTTCAAGGTGGCATGACTGCCAACGACGTTACCTCCAAGGCCGCCTGCAAGGAGCTGACCTTCATCTTTGCTCGCGGTACCACCGAGCCCGGTAACATGGGTGCCGTCGTTGGACCCGAGGTCGCAACCCAACTGAAGTCCCTGACTGGTAACAAGGTTGCCGTGCAGGGAGTGACCTACCCCGCCAGTGTGGCCGTAAGTTGAAGACTATACCCCCAACCCGAATCAACTAACCAATTCGACAGGGAAACGCCCAGATGGGTGCTGCTGGTGGCCCCACCATGGCCAAGCTCGTGAAGCAGGCTCTCAGCCAGTGCCCCAACACCAAGGTCGTGGTGGGAGGATACTCCCAGGGATCTATGGTTGTCCACAACGCCGCGAAGAGTCTTTCTGCTGGTCAAATCTCTGGTGCTGTTCTCTTCGGTGACCCATTCAAGGCCCAGGCTGTTGCTCACTTGTCCAATGACAAGCGCAAGGAGTTCTGTGCTGTTGGTGACCCCGTTTGCGAGAATGGTTTCAATGTCATGGCGCACATTACCTATGGCTCTGATGCCAAGACTGCTGCGCAGTTCCTTGTTAAGGCTGCTGGTGTTGCCTAGATTGGTTGAAGTGACTGATGGAATGATGAGCTGGATCAATGTGGAGTCAATTGGAATGATTGGATAGGGATGGTTGGATTGGAATGGGTGCTCATGGATAATGTTTTGTTATTTTAGACACCTTTAGTCTGAATCTTTTGACATCTGCGATGTCTCCCCTTCCAACTGTTCAGAAACGTAGATCGCATCCGAATTCAACAGGATGGCTGTAACAGTAAGCCGGGGCACTCAGAAGAAAATGAGCTTTGGAGAAGATGAGAAAATGTATGAATAAGACTGTATGGGTCCCATTTGGGAATGGTGTTGTACAAAGTCAGAAAACGCCACTCCAAACCGCTGTATAAGACAAATGTTGAAGACGAAAATATAAGCAGAAGATATCTAATGCAATAAACCAAAAGGAATCAAAGGCTCCTAGCCAAGAAAGTGGCGTCCGGAAAAACACAAGAGGCTTTTCAAGCCCGCTCAAGTAGTGGACAATTTGCTTGTCCGAGATGATGTACGGGATAAAGAGTTCTGGCCTTGGGAGTTCTCGCCCTCAAGCTCTTCTTCGTCCTCGTAGTACAAATATTCATCATCGTCCTCATCTGGGTGCCCGAAGATACTCCTCCAAACACCGTCCCATAAGCCCTTCTTGGTGACAAGACCACCAACAAGCAGGATAGGCAATTGCCAGATACTGGCCCAGAACAGACCGCGTGCAGTTCCATTCGCACCTTGATGCTGCCAGAAGCGGTACGCCTCGCGCACCAGCCAACCATTGGCGAAGGTGCTAGGAACCAGGAAGCCAGCCCCAACAACGTCGTACCACCAGAGACCAATGGAGATAGGGAACATCAGGAGAGAGTAGCGGAGTGAGACACGGGCATTGCGAGCAGGGTTCACCCAAGCCATCATCCGGTATCCGGCAGCTTTGTATTCATCACGAATGAGGTGGGACAAAGCGTTGAAGTGGGGGAATTGCCAAGCAAACAAAATTCCACCGAGCAGCCATCCACCAATGCTGCCTTCGCTGAATAGCATATCGCGCCAGTTATCGTGGCCAATGGTGGCGGTCTGACCTGCTGCCGCAATCCATCCCATCAGGGGTGGGATACCACCGACGATCGCGCCGACCCAGGTGTTCACGACGTGGATTCGCTTTAATGGGGTATAGACGAAAGCATATAGGAAGATGTTCGCGGCAGACAGAGCCGTAGTGGTAGGATTCGTGCCAATGTAGAGGAGTGACAGGCCAGTCACTGCGGTTCCAATCGCGAAAAACAGAGCACCGCGGCGCGAAACGAGCCCGCGAACCAGTGGGCGATTGCGGGTTCGGGACATCAGCGCATCGTATTTCGGCTCGAACATCATGTTCAGCGTGTTTGCGCTGCAGCATGACAAGAACGTGCCCGCGGTGAGGTAGATGAAGGTCAGGGTCGAGGTCGAGAGGGTAGGGAGTGGGGTCATGGCCGGGTCGAGGGTGAGCAGGGACGAGATCGGGTACATTCCGTATGCGGAGGTGGTGGTGAGGAGGATCAGGAAGGATAGGCGAGGTTTCGTCAGGGCGAGATAAGCCGCCAGCTTGCGACGGAGGGAGGTGGTGGGGAGTGCGGAAGAGAAGTTCGACAGTTGTGCAGATGCATCGAGCGGGATGCTTTGCTCTGGGTTTCCACTGCCATTGCTTGTTTCGGTGTTCGCTTCCTTCAAGCGCTTGCGTCTGCGGTGCGGTAATTCCTCTGGGCTTGCTTCTGCTCCAATTGTTGTGGGCGACTCGGCTTGACTTGCGGGAGGATCGGTGGGAGATTGAGACTTGAAATTGAAGTTCTTGCTCGCGTTGGTTGGTGCAAGTGACGAGACAAAGCTTCCTTTCGCGCCTGGTCCTTCATATAGTCGATTCGCCGAGAAATATGATTTGTGAAATCCCGAAGGAGACTCATCCGCGATGCCGGGCTGTCGTTTCGTGGATGATAGGAAGCCCCGGATTTGTGGGGACAGAGTGGGCTTCAAACATGAGCATAGAAGCGCCTCTCGAGGCCTCCGTAGCAGGGAGGGCCGCAGAGGGATCATGACGTGTCTGTCCTAAGAGAAGAAATGTTGGACGAGAGAAGTTGAATCTCCCCGGTGCACGGGCCACATCCGCTCACTGGTCGTACCACTTCTTGGCATCTGATATTCACTGCTTACATGCTTACAGAGTACTCGAGGCTGATTCTACGAAGGAAATGGAAGTGGAAATAATGTGTTTTCAATTCAGTGGAATCATCTATCTGGCGCACTCTCATTGTCACTCTCAATACAGGGAATATTGCAAAGGGTCAAAAGGCTAGGCTGTCTGTCTGTCCACTGTCGTAATGTCCGGGATTTGAAGATAGAGGTTGTCAAGTTGTGTCGTTGCGAGATCGATGTGAGCTGTGTTGATTGTCCTGAAGCCAGAAGGCCCGCCACAACACAGTTCACAGGATCGGAGGTCCAAAACGTGGTAAGTCGGTGGAGGTGGAACGACAAGGTGGAGCGTGGTGGAACGAAAAAGTAGGTTGAGGTTGAGTGGTGTTGTTCCAAGATCCATGTGAACGATGCCGATTGTCCTGAAGCCGCAAGGCTCGCCACGACACAGTTCACAGGACCTCGGAGTTGTCGGTAACCACAAGAGCGAACAGCCTGCAGGTCTCCTATCAAGTGGGCGCCAAGTCGAATCGCCTCTTTTGAGCCGTCTCCTGTAGAGACTCTCCGGCGGAGACCCTTGTTTCGCAGGCTGTTCCCCTTCGCGTGGATGGTGGAGATTGGACGGTGGACGGTGGAATGAGGTCGAGCGTTGATGCTCCAAGGTCCATGTGAGCCATGTCGATTGTCCTGAAGCCAGAAGACCCGCCACGACATAGTTCACAGGACCTCAGAGTTGTCGATAACCACAAGAACGAACAGCCTGCAGGTCTCCTATCAAGTGGGCGCCAAGTCGAATTCGCCTCTTTTGAGCCGTCTCCTGTAGAGACTCTCCGGCGGAGACCCTTGTTGCGCAGGCTGTTCCCCTTCGCGTGGGTGGTGGATTTTGGACGATGGAAGGTGGAACGAGGAGGAACGAAATTGAATAAGAAGGTAGGATTAAGTTGAGTGGTGTCGTTCCAAGATCATGTGGGCAATGCCGATTGTCCTGAAGCCAGAAGGCCCGCCACGACACAGCTCACAGATCTTGGAATTGTTGAGTATAACCCGGTGGTGGAAAGTAAACGGCGAACGGTGGACGGACGGTGGACAGTGGACGGTGGTTGGCGGACAGACAGTGGACAGACAGCGGACAGTAAACAGTAAATAGCAAACAGTAAACAGCAAGCAGCAAGCAGTGGACAGTAAATAGTAAGAAAACAGTGGGTGAGAACCCGGAGGGGAAATGGGAAGCCACAAAAGCGAACAGCCTGCAGGTCTCCTATCAGGTGGGCGCCAAGTCGAATCGCCTCTTTTGAGCCGTCTCCTGTAGAGACTCTCCGGCGGAGACCCTTGTTGCGCAGGCTGTTCCTTTTCGCGTGGAAAGTAGGAGGTAGGAGTGGAGAGTGGAGAGTGAACAGAAACAAGTAGACAGTGAGAGTGGACAATGAGAGTGGCCGAAAGGTAGAAGCAAGGACGACAAAAACGAAGTAAACAGTAGATGAAAGACGAAGTAGACGAAGACGGAAGACGAAGTAGACGAAGACGAAAGACGAAGTAGACGAAGACGAAAGACGAAGTAGACGAAGACGAAAGACGAAGCAGACGGAAACGAAGCAGACGGTAGACGGTAGACGAAGACGAAGCAGACAGTAGACGAAGTAGACGAAACAGACGGTAGACGAAGACGAAGCAGACGAAGCAGACAGTAGACGAAGCAGACGAAGCAGACGGTAGACGGTAGACGAAGCAGACGAAGCAGACGAAGCAGACAGTAGACGAAGCAGACGAAACAGACGGTAGACGAAGACGAAGCAGACGAAGCAGACAGTAGACGAAGCAGACGAAGCAGACGGTAGACGGTAGACGAAGCAGACGAAGCAGACGAAGCAGACAGTAGACGAAGCAGACGAAGCAGACGGTAGACAAAGACGAAGACGAAGCAGACGGTAGACGAAAACGAAGCAGATGGAAGACGAAACAGACAGTGGACGAAATGAACGAAGTTGAAGTTGAAACTGAGCATTGAAAAAAAGATAAAGCATAAAGCGCAGAGGAGTGTGAGGTCAAGAAGAAGTTGAAGCAAAGGCCGAGGAGGCCAAGGAGGATGCAGAGCTCGGGGAGTCTGGAGATACAGTGATCAGTGGCAAGGTGTATGAACAATGGGGGTGGACAAACCTGAGTGGCCGGTATCATGGGCCGAGGAACCCATGGAGGGTATGGTGTTGTGTTGTTGTTGGTATGGAAGACCAAGAGAAGTCAGGTTGGTCAGGCATGGTTGGACCAAGTAGGTAAGGACATCGGATGCCATGGTAGACATGGGATGTGAGGTGTGTGGAGTGGACTGTGTATGGTGAGCCAAGTGACAAGACAAGAGAAGGGTGAAGCATGTTGTGAAGAGACAAGACAAGTTAAAGGTATAGGTTAAGTGAAGGGTAAGAGTATAAGGTAAAGTCTAAAGTCTAAAGGGTATATGGTAAAGGGTAAAGGGTAAAGGCAGGTAAGGGTATAGGGTATAGGGTAAAGGAAGAGAAGGTGGAAGGCACAAACAATATTGTAAATAGTAAACAATGTCAAGATGTATGAGGTAAGGACGCATGGTGGCGTGGGGTGCAGCTGTCAAGAGACATGACGTGCAGAAGTGGAGAAGTGGAGAAGAGAAAGTCTGGGGAGAGGAGAGAGAGAAGAGAAGAAGAAGAAGGGGGAGGGAGCCTGTATTTATACCCTCAGGATCAACCCAGGATCAAGCGCCCTAAACTGAAAAGGAAATTCGAAGAAGGAAGGAACGAGCTGTTCCTGCCCGTGCCTTCCTGATTTGGAAGTTCTGTGATCTGGATTGCCTCAATTGCAGTCCATGATCTTGATCCCACAAACTTCACTCACTGATCCTGCCTGATCTCGGCTTTTGAACCGAAATCTATTGATCCAGAGTTACTGGCCTACACTGGATGATCTAGGATCGCCAGTCTCTGATTACCTATCTGGCATCATGGACTGAGGATCACTGGTTGAAGATTCAGTCGTTTTGATTGGTCTGGCAGCTCTGATCTGGGCTCACTGATCTCGCTTCTTGTCATGAGGAGCCTGGGTTCTCAGGACAGCAAGTCCATCATCAGTGTACGCCATGCCCGAGCTTGAACCAATGTCTTCACGGCCTGCTACCCCACACCAACCCTCACTGGTATGCCCTCGTTATCCAAGCTCGCCCCAGTAAAGAGATATCAGTGCATTCTAAGCCTGGTGCACTGCCATGATCCATGCAGCGAGTGTCGGTAGAAACATGGCGTCAAATCCACTTACATGCGTCCTCCGTTTCAACGTTAGTATCTTTCTACAGGCGAGATAAACCATCACAGTCTCCTGAGCACAGCCCACGGGTACTCATAACACCATATATCTCGGTGGCACATTTCAAGATGTTAATTGTAGACAGAAAAAAGCTGGTTCCGTCGGCACGTAGCTGGTGCTCTGTATCCGCTGTTCGGTTTCCAGGCTCGCCAGCACACGCTCCAGGGCCCCAGGGCCTGTTGTGTCAACTAAACTAGCGTATTCCAATGAATTATCATGCATAATGCACAGTATATACACCTAGATAGCTCCCAAGGCAATTGAATGCATTTGTAAACAGCCTAAGACATGGGCGTTGCATATATATTTTGGAGTCAACTACCAGGTTCGAGTCGCTTCAGCACCAAAAAGCGGCAACCCAGCTTCGAATACCAACCTCAGGACTACAGAATGACTGGAAATCCCAAGAGACATAGCCAGATAACACCCAATAAGCCATGGAAGCCCTGGCGCGACTCAGACGAAGCCGAGCAGACGTCTATAGATCAAGAATGCGCTAGTCCCAAAGCCGTTAGCGCGAATAACGAACATTCGGGAACTTTGTTTATCGTGGCCAACACACTGCACACCAGCAAACACAATGGATACCCTGCAGAACAGCGTGATCACACCACTCCAGCCATACCTGGCTCCCATCGTGTCAGCGATTCCCGAACCAGTGCACGATGCTGTGATCTCCCTGATCGGAACACCATGCCACAAGGCACTCCTCCTCGACCTCGACGTGACCAAGGACCCCGCCTGCACCACCCTGGCTATTTCCAAGGCACTAGGGATCGCCATTGTGGGCGCTAGTGCTATCGTCAAGGTCCCGCAGATTCTGAAGCTCATCGGTTCCCGCTCCTCCGCTGGTGTCTCTTTCATCTCGTACGCCCTTGAAACTGCCAGCTTGCTCATTACCCTTTCCTATGGTGTGCGCAACCAGTTCCCCTTCAGCACTTATGGAGAGACAGCCTTGATTGCTGTGCAGGATATTGCGGTCGGGGTTTTGGTGCTTCACTTTGCGGGGCGGACTGCGGCCGCGGCGACTTTCGTGGCCGTGGTGGCGGCTAGCATTTACGCTTTGTTGTTCGATCAGACTCTTGTTGACGCGCAGACTATGGCGTATTTGCAAGCTGGTGCGGGTGCGCTGGGTGTTGCTAGCAAGGCTCCTCAGATCTACACTATCTGGCGTGAGGGTGGAACAGGCCAACTGAGCGCTTTTGCTGTGAGTTTTTTTTTTTTTTTTTTTCGAATTCCATTTCATTTCGCACGCTAATCAACCAGGTCTTCAACTATCTCGCCGGTTCCCTGTCTCGCATCTTCACCACTCTCCAGGAAGTCGACGACAAGCTCATTCTGTACGGATTCATCGCTGGATTCTCCCTCAACGTCATCCTCGCCACTCAGATGCTTTGGTACTGGAATGCCCCTGCCCAGACCAAGAAGCAGGCTCGTGCCCATCCCGAGAAGACACCCATCGCACAGGCCACTGGTGTATCCACTGGAGCTTCGCCGCGACCAGGCGCGAAGACCCCCACCACCCGTCGACGCGGTTAGGGATCCAGTCCGACTTCAATTCTTTCTTGTCTGATTATCATCATTTTAATGCCATCCATTCCGGACTACGCTGCAAAAACCATAGACCAAGACGTAGACCGTAGACTGTAACCCAACTACCACTTGTGCGCAGTACACATATGGCGCATAACCTCTTCGAAGGCTAAGAAAGGATGCACAGGGTGCGGACGATGAGTCGCAATATCAAACTCCAACCCAGCAGCACCAGGTTTACGATGAACACCCACAACATCCATCTCCTCTTCATTCTCCTCATCCTCACTCCCCTCAATACTCCCCTCCTCATCCTCAAGCTGTCTCTTCAATCCTGTAACAACATTCTCAATCCCATTCTCCCGCTCCTCAAGCGTAAAGTTGCCTCCCCAGTTCCTCCGCCTCGCCTCCAGATTCGCTTCCAGCGGCGCCCACTTCCATAACTGCGCGAGCTGGTCGTCGCTTAGGTCATCTGAGGCAGGCTCTTCAGTCCCTCCTTCTCGGCCACTAGCTAGCCAGTCTTCGACGCGGGGGTCGAGTTTTGTGCGGAGAAGTTGTTCGAGAATGTTGGCGTTGGCTTCGGTGCGGGCTGGGTATTCTGGGCCTGGGTAGGCGACTAGGTTGGTGAAGAGGTCGCTGTTTTCGGAGAGTTGTTCAGAGACACTGACGAGGTTGTTGGAGATGATGCTTGCTTGGGTTTGGAGGGAGGACCTGGTTGCATTAGTGGGGTTTGCATTTGGATTGGTGGTTGGTGGCTGGTGTACCATGATGGGAGGATATCGTCGGTGGTGAAACTTTCGTTTAGACTTGCAATTAGAGAGTTCAGTGAGTTGTTTAGTTGGGCTAGTCGTTGGCGGGACTGTTCCAGGACTTGGATCTGTTCTTGATTGAGGGTAGCCATGTTGTGAATGTGAGGGTGAATATTGAAGTTCCTAGGAGATAGCAGATCTATAGAATGCGAATGGCATGCATTTTGCCTGACTTATTGACCGCCTTACATCCCTGCTACTGTGAATGTTAGGGCGGTGTAGGATGTAGAGAGCGATAAGCAACCCTGGAGATAAGCACAAAGTTAGCACGGAAAAGTGTGTGGACGTGTAAAGGAAAGAGACAAAGAAGGGAACATCTAGGAAATTGCAGGAATTTGAGATTGTGAATAGCTTCATATTTGGGAGGCCTGGTACTTTGCTTACTGCGAGAAAGTGCAAAGAATCAGGCCAATTCAGGCAAAAACAAAATGCACGCCGCTAAACCCCAGCGCAGTACATTTCTTTGTCTACCTTGACCAACATCACTGCAGAGTATCTGTCAGAATACACGACAGAATATCCATTCAATCATCTTGATTTTCTATCATCTCAACCAAAATCCAGCCAAGTCAACAGGCCCGTCAGCACCAAACCCGCCCTCGATCCAAAAATAACCCGATCGACACCCACTTAGTGCCCTGAACCCTTGGCAGTGCGTACTGAAACGCGTGCAGAAGACCATCAGCATCTGCAATTGGCCCGACTTTCGGCCGGAAGGCCAAAGCAGCCGATCTCCTCGTATTACAAGGCATTCTGACATGTGTAGGTTTTGCCCGTGCCGTTATGGCGTTGCTGGGCGGCTGCTATTTTGGGAGACATCTGTGTGAACGGTGGAATAAGTAGGCCTGTCCTGCCCGCTTTTTTTTACTTTGCTGGGGTTGAGGACTCCAGGACTCCAGCTTCGATACTGACTTTGCATCAGATTATTTTTCAGGGAATGGGGTGGGAGAGTTCATTCGACTTTCATTACTCCAGACATGCAGACATGGGATATTTGACGGGCAAAACTTGAATCGAAAATCAAAACAAACGCCAATGATGTGAGCTGATATCTTTCATTAAGCTCGGTCCGATATCAGCAACCAGCTCTTCCAAGGTGTGCATTCAAGTTTCAAGAGGTTCAATACAAGACCTCATCACCACTGCTGGGGTCTCTTCTGATCAGGATCCAAGACCGGCGACTGAACAGGAACCTGATTTTGCTCCGTGATCTGATTCGAGAAACCCGACTTATCATGACCCTGGAACTGCTGGTACTGATGCTGATACTGCTCGGGACTACCATGACCATAGGGTAGTTCTTGTCCGCGCCCGTCATTATCCATGAATCCCAATCCAGGACCATACCCATGTCCGCCCGAAGCATACTGCTCAGCCCATTGGCCGTTGGGGTCGTTCCAGCGGTTATACATTTGGCCAGACTGGCGTGTTCGACGGGCCTTCTTGCGACGGTGGCGGATGAAGAAGAAACAGCATATTGTCAGGGAGACAAGGATGAGGAGGAATCCGACTATAGGCACGGCTATTACCACGCCTAGGTTGATGTTTGAAGAGCTTGAGCCTGGGGTTGTGAGGGAGAGGCTGGAGGGGAGGAGAGATTGGGTGAAGATTCTGGTTGGGTCGATGTTGAATCTTTTGCCTGTGACTGTTTTGAAATGACAGTTGTAGCGGATTGATTCGAGGACTGGAAGGTCTGTCAGTTCAAAGTGCTAATGCGAAGGGCATGGTCTACATACAGTTTGCCATGTAGACCTGGGTTGTGGTGAGGTTGTAGCAGAACTCGCATGTGTTGACGACATTATCTGCGAATGTTGGGGTATCACACCAAGCGTCCAGATTGGAGGTACTCGGCTCCTCGATATCGGTTTCTACAGCGAAGCGAACGCCATCACATGCCACTGGACAGGGAGACGAAACATTCGAGATTGAATCCGGATACCCGAATACGCAGGTTGAGAATGCGTAGCGCAGATTATCTGGTGCGACCTGTCAGCATTTGATTCTTGCACCTCACACGGATCGACATACAGAGACCCCAGTTCACGTCTGATTCCCCAGTGTTGGCATCGTGGAATTCACTGTCCAACTGGCAAGAGATGCAATTTTCGAAGTTCTTGCCTGTCTTGGTTCCATTATACGATCGATCCAGACAGGTGATTTCGTCAGAGGTGGTGTTTGTCGTAGTTCCACAGACACCAGCACAGGGCGACCCGGACGTAGTCCTCAGCGCCAGAATCGCAGGACTCAACAGCCAGATCGCAAAAAGCACTACCATTCTGGCATACGAAGTGCCAACACGCCCGATCATGACGAGCGATCTCTTTTACAATCGCCGAGATCAAGGCAAAGGGCCAGAATACAGTCAAGATTGCATGAGCAACGGGTAAGTAATTCAATTTAATCGAGGCCGCGGGAAAGCTTCTTTTTTTCACTGTGAACTGCCCAGGTGCTCGTTCTCTGTGATGGCCAAGTGGAGTGGTTGAGCTCCAGACCAGGGTGTGCTGCAGCGTTGCTAATGGAGAAAGAATCGAATCAAGCACGGCACTTCCCGTTGGGCGCTTAGAGAGCACCGCCTACAGGCTGGGGAGGGACATCCTGGTCATCTTAGGGTGAAGGAGAGGATAAATGATCGACTCATTTATTTGCTGAATTGTGATGAGTGTGACGGGAGTTAGGCGCTTGATTGGTGTGTGATTGTGACGGAGGCTGCATAGATGCACGCCCCTCACTTGGCATTTTAGCGCGTATGATTTACGAGTACGCCGTAGAGATTTGAGAAATCTTTGAAGTCAAAGGGAAAAAATATCAAATTATTACTGTTTGAATCAAGAAATAATGCTCAAATTGCTTCTGTTCCGCCGATTGTAAAAAAAAGACAAAAAGCCGCCGAAATGCAAAATTAATCTTAGAGAATTTCAATACGTCCTCCGGGGAATAACCAAGGCAAATACGGAATATCATATAGAGAATTCTAGCCACGTTCATATCAACCGTAAAGCTCATCATACGAGGGCACCATCTCGTGGTTTGTCGACTCAGGCTCGCGGGCGGGAGGACGAGGAGGATATCTCTTTTCAGTGAAAGGTGGTTTCGGAGTTTGCTGACCATACCGAGGCGTGGACGGAGGCATAGAAGGGGCCGAGATAGAAGAGGCGGCGGTATAGCTTGTGCGGCGGGAATTGGAGCCCGAGAGAGATGCCACAGGCTCAGTCGCACAGCTTTGAACACTGCAGCGCCGCATGCGCGAAGTAACAGAGAGAGGCGGGGATTTCGCGGGGATGTCATAATCTTCTGTATCGCGCGTGTGCGACGTATCTCCCAATTCATAAATGCGAGGACTCAAGCCCACTGGACCGAGCACGTCTCTGTACTCGTCATCTTCGTCGCAGGAAGAGCTGGAGCTGTCGTCTTGAATGATGCTTGAAGCGTGGTGGCTGTCGCGGCGGAGGTCACCGATGCCCAGGCCTTGGAATGGGCGGCGGTCTTCTGGGTCGCGATGGCGGATGTTTTGATTGAAATGCCCGGTTGGAAATGATGGAGAGGAAGAAGATGATGGACGCTCTGTGCCTGTGCTTCGCGACCGCCGGATAGGAGAGCTGGGACTTGGCTCTCGAAATGAGCCAGCTGAGACATGTCGCTGTCCTTCGTGTATGTTTGGGGATGCCATTTCAGATGCATTTGCACCAAATCCGGATGGTTGATCCCATTGATTCCAAGATCCTTGAATGGGATAGGTGATTTGAACATCACCCCAGCGAGAGTGTAACTCTGTGGACAATCTGCGCTTCCTCTTGAACTTCTTCATGAAGGTCGCCATAGCCTTCGCAAAGTCTCCCATGTGGGTTGGAGGGGTTTGACGCGTTCGGGGTCTCAATGTACCGGGGGAGAAGTCACTCCCTCACAAGGTGTTCATCCCAAACCTGGTTTAACTCCCCACCGAGAGCATGAGATATGACTCAAGCAGGACTCAATCACAGAAGGGAACAAAGAGATATGACAGGGGCACGTCTACTGCCGCGTGAAGTTATATCAGCAGTCCATGAAGACTAGTCAAAGACTGCACGGTGTTTGACCCAGAAGAGCGAAGATCTTCTCCCAGATTGCTTGATGAGCTGGAAGTTGGGAGCCAACAGACCCAGGGAGCGATTAGAGACCCGGGAGAGAGCCCGGCAACCTGGGTCACCCCCTCTGGCGCGAAGTGGGAATTGAGACAACGTCTCGAAAAACAACAGCGGTTCACGGGAAACAAATCAACCGGCATCACCACTGGATGATCCAAGCGGGCCATAAATGGGAGGCTCGAAAAGCTGCAGTGTGCGCACAGGATGCAGGCAGGAGGGGTAGTGGGTTTTCACGATCCCTGCGACCCCCGGTCGTTTTCAGGGTAGGAGTTTTGATGCGGCGCAGTCAACTTGCGTTGGCCCTTTTGACGCGGGTCACGTACGAGTACATTTGTGCTGCATTCTGGCCATCTTGGCGTGACGCTTGTCGAGGGATCTACGAGATCAATGCTGTGAGGTACCTGAATTGAGCTCTGTGCTTCATAGTCCGTCCGTTCGGGGAATTTGATGGAGTGTGAGTTCCGGGCCGCGCAAGCACAGGCACGGAGGACTCCGTAGGTGCTCCGTAACGCCTGATTCGCAGCAGATGTAAACACGAAAAGAGAAGGGAGAACGACAGGGATTAAAAGAGGGGGTGGATCCTAGATTAGCGAACGCGGTTTCACACTGTCCTCTTCCCTGTAGTGGGGTTGAAGGATCAATATTCACAAACCTGCGTAAACCGAAGTACGTGCAGAGCGATTCGTGACGAGATTCTACTCTGTTCACCTCTTGGCCGAAGATCTCCCCGCCACTCTCGTGGGAGGCGTTTGAATATATTGCTTCTAAGCGCTGGACAAGCAAAAAAGGAAGTGCGAGGATGATCGGCACCGTTGACAGAGATCAGATCCGACAATCTCCCGCAGATTGAGGTCTACCAGAATAATAAATGTGTTGCTCCTGATCAAGCCGTAGAGGTACTGAATAATTGTATTTGTGATTATAACCCGGAAACCCCAATGGTTTATAGGCAAATAGCCGAAAGAAAGCCACATATTTTATCCGGACCAGAACAGAGAAAAGGAGAAAAAAAGAAAAAGAAAGCAGATCGTGACAGTCGTAAAAACAAGCCGCCACAAATCAACGGAAATTGGTGATCAGCCGCGACAAAACGGGTTTAGGCGGTTTAGGGGCGGGTTGGCCCGAAAGCATTGGCTCCGAGTGACTCCTCTCACGACCCTCTCCCTCTCGGCCCCGCCCTCGATCTTGGTGATGACTGTGTTGATTGTCTCGATTGTCTCGAACGTTTTGAATATTTCGAATGTCCCGCGTGTCTCGACTCCCTGCATTATCCGGCCTAACAGGCCCTGGGTCGGCTAATGACACGGGATGATAGGTGGACAGTCTCGCATCACTGTAGTGAACTGCACTTAACCGGGAGGAGGGGCCGGGTTGGTAATAAGTACGCATGTCGCCAACCATCGAAGTTGGCCGTATGGGTTGGTACTGTGATGGATCGTACGTGGGCAATGTGGGGTACGGTGGGGGCTGTTCGTTTCGAGACAGTTGATGGTGATGGTGATGGTGATATTGGGCTTGGCGACTATAGTCCGGAGCAAAAGAGGAGAGCGGCCGGGGCTGGGGTTGGAGGTTTCTTGGCGACCCTAGTTCCTCCTTATAGGCCGGGGGCGGCTGGACTGGGGAGAACTCCTGGGCATTGCGTCGCCGGGCCCGTTCCTTGCGCGAAAAGAGGTATAACAAGCTTCCCGCCACTATTGTTAATTAGCCACTGGCTTGGGGATTTTGGAGCTTGTTAGGTAACTTACTGGCAAGTAATATGAGACCGCCGGCTATAGCTCCAATGATAATGACTGGTGTGCGTGGGGAATTGTCAGAGCGAGTGGTAAATTTACTTGACATCGCCCGATTCGTGGTAGCTGGGCAAGATGTTTTCACGATGACCAATGCCCTGTGAGTGGAAAGTACAATTGAAGTACCAGACCTTCACTTCCCTCGATATCCAAGACTTAAGGTAATCAGCCTCAATCCTGTGAACCGATGAGATTCCCGAAACCAGCGACATAACGATATATAAGACCCTGAAACGGATCACCAAAGCTTAGTCGCATCCTCACGGGCCCTGTTTCAAGAGATATTTTGAGCGACTCGCGGGGAAAACAAAGATAGTATCAATTAGCTATAGATAGATTGACAAAACCGAGCTAATTAGCCAGCATTAGCTCGATTAGTGTGATTTAGTCCACTTAACCTGCATCTCCGAATGAGTCCGGTGGGCTAGACCCCCTCAAAAGCGCCATAAATCCTAAATTAATTCGGCTTCACCAGTCGACAAATCAAGTCAGTCAGCCTGGCGTCACCAACAATCTATCTGATCGGTGACTGGTTCGATGGAAGCGCTCCCGAGATTGACGAATCAAACACCCATTCCAGTCCAACAATCTACTTCGAACATGTATATAAGGGCATCACCGCCTAGAATTAGCAAGGAACTGGTCTCTGAGTTGTTCACTTCCCCTTCGGACGTGTTGGCTCCTGCCGAATCCGGAATCGGCTACTTAGGGCTGGCAACGCCCGCATGAAGACTTGCAGATGAGAGCAGAAAATGGATTTTTCTTTACATTTCAATATTTTGCATATCCACCTACCACTTGAGCATCTACTAGTCTTCTCACTATCAGCTGAGGCTCTCACTCCGCATAAGCCCGATAAACAGCCATGCCCTTGTCTGTGGCAAAGTCCAAGGCAACACCCTGCCCGACAAAGAACACCCACCCCTCACTCAGCTCGACAGTCTGATTACCAGGGATCTTCATTTGTCCAGATCCCTTCGTCACAATCATCAGGCTGGGGCCCAAGATAGCCTTATGAGTCTCCTCCTCCCCCTTGCCAAGAGTGGTACATAGCACCGCAAACTCACTGATAGGAGGCGCATAAACATCCGTCTTCCCTTTCATACCTTTATCACTCTTCCTTCGCGGAAGAAGCGCATCATCCGCTTTATGCGGCGTGAAACTCAATGCCTCGCCAAATAACTCGACACTGTCACGGTCGGCCGCGGGACAGAATCCCGTGTTGATGACATTGTCTGACCGCGCCATGCATTCCACAATATCTCCCTCCAAGTACGCGTGGATGCTATCTGCTGGGACGAAGACTGAGTCGCCAGGTCCGAGTGTCAGGTAGTTCATCAGCAGGGCGGCGACGAGGTTCCCGTTGTCGTCTTCGCCATATTGCTTTGCGAGGCGGCCCAGGAGACTTGGAATGTAGGAGTGGGCTCCGAAGTGTGACTCTGGGATTGCTTGGAGGTCTTTGGTTGTTTGAACTACTTCTTTTGGAGGTGCATTTAGTAGAGCCTTGCAGACTTGGCGCAAGGCCTCGTCGTTGAACTCGCTCGCTTGGGGCATGTATTTTGCCAGATGGTTTAGTCTGAACAATGTTTCGATGTGGTCTAGTGGTTTCCAGCCGGCGAAGAGCTCGAATTTGGACAATGCGATCGCGATTTCGGGCTTGTGCATGGTGTCGCGATACTTTTTCGGGTCTTCTTTGTGCAGTTGCGCGGCGAGTTTGAGGTCTGGGTGGATTTGGAGAGGTAGGGCCTTGCTGAAGGATAGGATCTGTTTGATAACTGTTAGGTAGAGATCTCGTAGACCGTGGAAGATGCAGATACCTTGGGTAAGAAAGGGATCTCTGGTCCCCACCGATCGTGCACCGATTTGCCGACTAAGTGAGGGTTCTTCTCGAGATACTCCCCGAGATGTTCACCAGTAGAGAGCAGGTAGGATGGGTTTGAAGGGTAGGTGCCCAGCCACATCTGTTGAAAGTCAATATTGTTCAAAATTGAGATACTGGCATCCCACCTCTGAGTAGTGTTTGGATTCATCGATTGGCTCGTTTCTTGGAGATTTAGACCAGAGCTGCGCCACGACAGATTCCTTGCCTTTCTTTCCCCACGAGTCGTTCTACAAGTGAGAGGTCAGTACACGGTTTGTGGAATGTTAGTTTGTATGGCGTTTTCTTACCTTAACACCGCACCGAAGTTGAACCACTGCGTCCGCCATTGTTCACTGGATCAAGCAATTGAGAAATTCGTATTGTATTCAGAATTGGTGGAATGGATTTCGAGCATCTCGGGAGAAGTTGGCTCGAAATATTCAAAACGCCCATCTTGAGGCGTTCAGATGTCGTCAGCATGATACATACTGGGGCGTTATAGAGTACGCCAAACCGCGTCGCCTACATTCAGCATCAGACCTCCACTCGCAAATGAAGAATGAGTCCGCCAATGAATGGATTTGCCCCCGGTGCAATCTTTGTGTACATCTAGAAGAATATTGTGGAGGGTGAATCTAGGAAATATACTTATTACAGGCCGGACCCTACTCAGCGAGAAATTCACAGTTGTCATGGATTCAGATCCCTGGGGGTTTAGGGATTGACCAAAAACTAGAAGAAGAAATCCTCATTGATTGAAAAGAAAATGTGTTCATTCTGAGGCCCAAGAGGCAATCCTAATGACCAAAAACGCCACAGATGCCAACGCCACGCAATCATGCTGAACAACAGACAGGAAGCAAAAAATCCCCCAACAGGCTAAATGAAAAATAAAAATAAAATAAATCACTCATAAAGCTCATCAGGATCAGGAACCATAGCCATAGTGACCGGCTTCAAAGTAGAAGCTCTATTTCGATCAGCCGGAACAAAAGGCGAGGTTCTCCGACGCGGAGGCAAACCATAGTTTCGCCGCGATCCATCTGAGACATCTCCGATGCTATCGCGGAAACTGCGACGGTTGTCTTCGTGGGTACTGAACCGGGAGCTTGAGCCATAACGATCGAAGTGGTCTTCATCAACGGACTCGGCGTATGAGTCTCGGTATGAATGGCTGCGATGGGAGCTAACAGACTGGCTGCGAGGGGGGAGTGCGCCGGAGTCTTGTAGGTAGCGGCCACTTGTCGGGATATATTTGAATCGGTTACTGGGTTGTTTTGGTTTCTCGGTAACTTCGGATGTGTAGTCTTGGTGAATTGGTCGATAAGAAAAATCGTTCCGGCTTTGACTGGAGTGCCGGGCGTCTTTGTCTGTTCGGTAATCACTTTGGGCCCTCGGGCGCGAGGCGAGGCGTACTGAGAGCCGACTTGACTTCAAGCCCGAGAGAGACAGAGAGCTGCGACGTGATGCTGTAGATGATGTACTGCATACACTGGCATCATCATCGTCTGCCTCTTCCTTGAACGGACGGGGCGTCCGGTCTTGTGGAGATGTATCGGGCACATAGCCTGGCCCATAGGAAGAACGTTCTTTCACTGGTCGATGTGGGTTGTCGTATTGATTCCAGGAACCATCTGTGGGAACGGAAATGGAGACATCGCCCCAGCGAGCATGAAGCGGCTTGGGGGAGTCTGATTTGCGGAAGACGGACAGAGGTCCGTTGACAATTCCGGCCATTTTTGGTGAGTTGTGCGTTTCACGATATTGAAGTATTGAGATTGCCCTCCAGCAGGGACAGGGAGTAACATTCGTTTGAAGGAGAATGCAAGACCAAGGGAAAAAAGCGCGAATATCAAGACAATAAGTTCTAATAAGAACCAGCGAACGGCCGATGACGACGACCGGCAAGCCCGCAGTTCAGCAGAGTGACAACAAGATTTTTGGCGACCTTCACGACCGAGGATCTCCCGCGTCCTGCAGTATCCCAGAACCAACACCAAGGACAGCCTCGGATTGGATGAACAAAATCACGACCAAGCAGGGTCTCAAGAAGCGATGGAGGGGTCAACGACCAATGAATCCGAAAAGCAAATCGTCGAGCTGAAAAACGACAAAATCCACCTGAGTCCCTGAAATCTCCCGATGAAAGAAGAATTGTTGCTCTCATTGCGAAAGGCGCTCGGATATAAAGCTTGGTCTTCGCAACCGCCGGGTCAATTTAGTTCTCCCGAGATGCAGAACTTCCAGTTCTGTGCCAGCTGCGCCTGACAATTTCATGCATTGCCATTGTAAACAACAGTAGCCAATGAGGGGGCCGTGTTACCGCTGAGAGGTGATGCAGAGGTGAGGGGATCTGCAGCTGGTTTGCGCTTGACAGGGTTGATTGTTCCTTAATTAGCCTGCATAACAGCTACTTTGAGTCTTAAAATAGATGTCAATTAGTTCAATTAGTTCAGTTAGCTGAAATTAGCACGAATTTGTTTGCTGCGCTAGTCCTATCCTGGTGTCCCTTTTGATTAAGTCGCTTTTGGCTGAGCTGCACAGCTATGCCGGGCCTTCCGAAGCTGTAATTGTTGTCATTTCTGATTCTAAATTGACCTAGTATACCATATTCCATAGTCAATTTTGCTTGACGATAATTCCCCAATTCAAAGTTGTCTGCAGGCATGGGGAGAGCGTTTGTTACTTCAGGCCCCGATGCATAACACCGGTGTATTTAGCCAGTGTAACCTCAATTACTCCGACTAATCAATGATAATTATAGAAATTGCGTTCGCATCAAGCTAAATTATAGCGAGTATTGCCAGCTAATGCTCTAATCTTTGCTACTCCTTACGAGTGCAAAGTCATGATTCTCAAATGAACCTAACGTGCACGCGCCCGTGAAAAAAGTACAATCTACCCGCAGGTCGTGGAAACCTTTGTCGCGTCCTTGGATTTGGCATGCGACAATCGCCTTTTGAACTCGTTGTCTTTGTAGAGATAGGTCATTTCGATTGAAGTCCCTCGGATAGTAAACCGAAGAAATCCTCGGCTTGGAAAGCTTCGGCTAAATGCCGAGCTCCCGGGGGCTTGGTATTGTGTCTGCGGGGGCGTGTGTCTCTTGGCAAATTGAGGCCAATGCTTCTAACATGTAGATGCATACAATCGTCGACCTCCTTTGGCGATGCGCCCGGTATCAAACTATTGAAACAGCACTAGAAGTCCAGCCAAAGTCCCCTGTCTGTTCGATGAGGGGAATGCCGATCTCGAGGCAGACATTGTTTAGTACTTGTATTAGTACTGAGTATCCATCTGACTTGGCTCAGGAGTGAATGCTTACCTCCAAATTCCTCAATGTTGGACAGTTCCAATTTTGAATGGAGTCTAGGACTTCACTGGCATTTCTGGGCCCCTGAAGACATCCTCTAGGGACTCTATCTAGGCGAGACCCTTATTGAAGCTTACTAGTACGAGCCGTGAGACTCGATAGGATGGATTATCTACTGTAGAGAGGGTTCCTTCATGCATACTTTTTTCCTTTTGTTCTCCTAGTTGCCGTCTACCTCAACATTACTTCCTGGCAAAGGGGATAGATTGCTCATTATCGTCCTTGCCATCTTCCATGGCCTTGAGAATGGCCTTCTTTTGGTGGTAGTATCGCGTGTTGGCTGCCCCCACTGTTTCGAACTTGGCAGCCGCAATGTTGCGAAAGTTAGGCTTTTCGAAAAGTGTACGGTTAGCAATTATCTCATAAGAAGTCTGAAGTGGACACCGACTCACTTTGTTTTTTGCCAGATCGATGGCCATAAACAGTTGGATGTACGTCTCATCCACAGGTGTCCTCGATCCACGTCCGGGAACCCATCCAGGTTTGGTGGTGTTCATTGCCGATTTGATTTTCATTTTCAGCGCCTCGAATTTGAGCTTCTCCTGTTGTGGGGTTGTGGAGTTGACATGGGCCATGGCCCTGAAGTCGAGCTGCGGAATGAATTGTCAGTCATGTAGCTCGCCCTGTTGGGTATGTCGCGAAGACTCACTTCCAAAGGCGACAGTTCAATAACCGAGAGCAGGAAGATGATATTTCTATCTATCTTCAGCGCGCTTGGAGCTGCACCACGGGCGCGGGCTATTTTCGGCTTGGCTCTGGTCATGTTAGCTAAAGTAAATGATGAGTAAAGAGAAGAAAAGAGAGTGGGAAAGGAGAGAAACAAAAAGAAGAAGTAGAGGTAAACAAAAGAAAATATCTATTGATGGAAGAAGTGTTTACCTGTTCAGTTTAGTTTATTCAAGACCGCAACACTCAGCCTGTTGCTCTTGATTCAATTCGATCCGTCCAAAATCCAAAGTGCCCCTCCGAATTCAGAGAAATTCGAGAAAAAGTTGGTCTTATATATGACTACCCTAGCACTCATGACAAGTCACCGGATTCTCGGACAATAGACCTGAGACAATCACTCTCAGCGCTTTTCTTGATTACAATTCAGTAGAAGAATAGAAGTGAAGTGAGAGATTCAAGAGCATCAAGGCTAAATTTGGATTTCGCGTCTTTCGTTTAGTTCTGGCTTGACCCAACCGTCGTTGCGGCGTAAATCCTTTGATGGAGGCGGACATATCTCATCCGCATCGCGTCCGTTGTGATGCCACGCCTGGCTGCCATTGATGCAAAGTCGGGCTGTGCAAGGAATCATGTTAGTTAAAGATATCTGTAGAGTAAGAGTAACTTACAGTGATCCCCGAATCCTCAATGGCCTCTAGAAGCATCGCATGGTTGATATCGATTGGCTGCTTCGAGCCTTCCAGAGTGAGTGGCTCTGCGGCGCCTTCGGCAGCTTGGCTTGAATTTGTCGGTGGTCGCGACTTCTTGGTGTAGTTGACCTCAGGTTGGTCACTCTCAGTTTTGGGTGGCATGTTTGTTGGTTCTCAGAGTATGTGACGAGGTTGAGAAGGTAGATCTGTGTTGTAGATGTAATGGAGAAGGAAGGAAGAGCGCAAGTTTCCACGAAGGCCGGGGTTTTAATGAGCGCAATTTGTAGAAGAAGTGGAGGGAAGGACTGAAGAAGAGAAGGAATAGTAAAATAGTTGTGATTGATGAATTAATGAGTTCGTGCTTGCTCTCCTTCATTTGGCAGGTGCATGATCCGATCTACTAAGAAAAGTTCAGACTCTTGAAAGCCCACTGTGTAAAAGTTCATTGCGCAGACCCTAGGTTTCACTAGAAATATTGCCTTCTCTGACGACTACAGCTTCGCATGTTGCAGAATCGTCCACTCGACGACTGTGTTACCGGACCTTGAAGTCGAAATACATTTCCGAATATTTCCTAAAGGGGTGTGGCTCATCAGATGGTGAGTATCACTCGTCCATCTCAGATTTGATGCTGATTGTGGAAGACGACGACTCTGCAGGCTGGTCGTCATTGCCGGCTAGCTCCTCAGCCCGCATCACTGCTGAACATCTCACACAGAGGACCTCTTCAGGTTGGGGCTTTGGGTTCTTGCGCTCATCGAATCGCTTCATAATCACATCAAAGAATGCTTTCCTTGTCAGTTCAAGACCGATAATGCAAGATAAACCGATTCACCCAGCATGGGCTTTGTACAATATCTCGTCTCTAGGACGACCCGGTCTCTCAGTCGGAATGCCTTCGAATATCTCAGGATGCAGACTCTTGTAGTGGGTCTTCAGATTCTGGTATGAACTGAACTGGTTCTGATCCATTGCAAATGTGTCAGTCCTGTTCACTTTCGCGATCGCAGACGGTATCTAAGTTTTCGGACCTGGTTCTTGCAGTCAGGCGCTCGGCAGTAGATCTCCCCATGGAACAACTCATATTTCTATCAGAGAGATCAATGGTTAGCATTCGATTCTCGCCCCTGAGGTGATGTTCGTTCTCTTACTCCTCCAGGGCCACGAGCGATAGGTGGGAGCTGGAGTTCGCCTTTTGTCGTTTCCATGTACCGCATGTACGTATTTCTCGATACTCGCCATATCTCATGAATTGGCAACATGTTAGTATCGGGTACACAAGGTGGTGTGGGGGCTGGGGCTCACTGTGGTGTTGGTGGAGGGGTGAAAGAGGGAGAGAGAGAAGACCTTGAGCCCTCGTCTTGATTCCTCTTGTTCGGGTTTAACAAAAAAAAAAAAAAAAAAAAAGAAGACCGAATCCCAGGTGGGTTGCCGCATCACCAACTTATGCTGGCGTTTTTGACTCTCACCATTCAGCGTAATAGCGTGCTTAGGCAGCTCGTTCTCAGTAACCATAGAGAACTACCTCATTTATATTATTTCCAATTAAACTCTGCAAGTAATCTATCCCAGAGCCCAAACACCCATACTCGATTCTCATACTAAATCTTCAGAATTGTATATCTATCCGGGTTTCCCGGGCTTCTGAATGACCCCTTATATAACTTCGGACCCTTCTCTTATATACCCCCTCACAACTTTGCATGAAGAGGTATTGAAATAGCTTCTTGATAGGCACGGGAAGATCAACGTCACCAATGGAATCTGGAATCTGGGATTAGCAAGGGGCCTCACGATAATTTTCCTGCGAGGGGCACTGTCCTCTTCAACCTCGACCGGCCGTACCCCAATCAGCTGCAACATACTGCTAGCCTCTAGCTTTAGCCCTGGTCATGGCTGGCAGCGTGATGGGACGTATACACCACGAATCGAGTTGCCTGACCATGTCGCCAGGGCTGGATGCAAATATGAGATTGCTGTTATATTCGAACTTGAGGGCAGGATTTTCGGTGACGTCTCCGGTCATCGTAACCATTCGAACAACAGTGAAAGTATGCCTCAAAGTTCCGAGAAAATGACTTGTATGGGAAGTTTGACTACCCGGGATGTATCGAGAGTGTGAGATCAGCCTGCCTACCCACGGTCTTAATCACTAGGAATTTCTCTTCTCTCGGGGCCCTCTCCTACCCAACTGGGGCAATCGAGGCTTCATGCGCCCCTTAAGTTGTAGTAATGGCTGAATGTCACGATGGGGAAGATGCTCATAATTCCCACGGTATTTATCGATGGAATCGGGATGCGTTCGCAGCAAAAGACGAGTGGGGGTGCTGTAACGATGCAAACGAGGTAGCGCAAGGATGTATGTTTGATATGCTGGCAAAAATGATTGCATTAAGATCTGAACACATCACGAGAGGGATTGGTTTGATTCCCAAATCAAAGCTCCAGCAGTCAGTCAAAGGGTAGGGCTCTCTGGACTCATATCCCTCTGGATTCTCGGGTTCATTCGAGCCGCAAAGCACCAGGATTCTGGTAGTAAAGCAGCCCGGTTCGCCCTTAACTCGGCCTTCGCGTCAAGGTCTCCTGTTCATCCAGTCGTCTGATCTTCCTTTCTCTGCACACGATAGTCTGTGAAGGATTTCATTTGAGGGTCCAGGTAGGGGAGATGTCGCTCGGATTGACTGGGCCGTGGTGTCCTGCACGCTGATTCTTTCTTCCGTCTTGTACCGCTGTCGCGCGGATTTGGTCCTTTCCCATCGACAAAAATCAGAGATCCCGTCTTCTGTCAAACTGAGCTCGTTGAAAGTCTAGAACAGTCTCCGGTGCCACGGGAACCGACTGAGTTTCGAATTTCCCGCGAAATGCACAACGGATGTCTCATCCCACAGAACCAAAGAAAAGAGAGTGAGCATGATAAGAATGATAATGTGCGAAGGTACTCAATGCGATGGGATAAATTACACCTAGAGGCTCCGGAGTTCCAGTCCAGGCAAATTCAAGGATGGCCATCCTCCTTAATTTCATGTATCAACCACTTCGATAAAAGTATCTGTAATATGCAAAACTTCCCGTCACTTTAATACCAAGTATCTGTCCCCTAACTCACTCCGTCCATTGAAACCTCATTGTTGGGTATCCTGTGGCCCAGTGCATCCAATCTATGCTTCACTTTCATTTCTCCTCGTGTCCTCACTTTCGCCGGCCAGTGGCTGCGTCGAGGTTGCCGCGTAGATCCTGGCGCGCCACCTGGCCTACCTCATTCGCATGGCATCCTTGCTAATGCCGCGGCGATGTGCCAACGACTCGAAATCTGGCTAGATGGTGCGTAATACAGTCAGATCAATGTCATGAAGTAATATGGGAATGAGGCATACCTGGACTCCCAGATCCTCGATTGCTTCTAACAAAAGTGCATGATCCAGGTCGATTTCCTTTGACGGTTTGAGTTGCTCTCTGGGAGGAGGCATTGATGCGGGTGGATTTTGATTCTTCTTCATTGTGAGAAGTGGTTTGGGTGGATGTATGAAAAGGGAAAGAAGAAGAGAAAGGGAAAGTGTGAAGGGCGAGACTTTATAGTCCGCGTTTGCTCAGATTGAAACGGCCACTCTGAATCTCATGCTGGATATCAAAGTTCGAAATTACTCAATGAGATGGGCTACATGATCCCCAGATGCTCCGGAATAGCATTTCAGGTAAAAGTAGAGGGAGCTTCCCTCTTTCATTGAAATGGACAAGTCAATTGACATTCATGACTAGTCTCATGGAAGACCTCTCGCCGCCATCCTTGGTATACATTCCCCAGTTCATCCATGAACTCCTCCTATTCGTGGTTTAATATCCTTTGCCTCCGTGATTCTGTCCAGCTGAATTATCAGCGGGCTCCTTCCCATTCTCGTTCGTTGGCCCCGTATCTTCATTTTTGGCGTGTTCCGACTCCACTGCGGTTGCCGCATAGATCTTTTGTCGAAATCTGCCCCATCTCATTCTCATTGCATCCACGCTAATCCCGCGGCGGTGAGCCATCATTTGGAAGTCCACCTAAAGAGACAATGTTGTCAGATCAATGCAATGGAGTAAGATGAAAACGAGGCCTACCTGGACATCCAAAGTCTCAAGCCCTTCCAGCAGCATGGCATGTCCCAAGTCGATCTCCTTGAGAGGCTTCAGTTCCTTGTTGGGTTGAGGCATTGTAGTGGAGGTGTTTGAGCTTTTCTTCATATTGATAGATAGTTGGAGTGGATGATTGAAAATGGGAAGTAGAGAGAAAATGGAAAGAAGAAGAGAAAAGGAAGGTCCTTAAATCAAGTCTTTTCGCTTGTAAACCCCAAGAAGCTGGCACATATTATGAATGCCTTTTTGAAACTACTGCTCTGTATTTGATCCCAACGGCCTGTCGCTGGGTGAT